TTTAAATCACACACGTCACACGTTTGTTTCATCTCAAAGGATCTAAGATTTACAGCGGGCGGGCGTAATAAGAAGAGCAATCTTGCGCGTAAAATAATTGTGTGCTTCCTACTCCGACGTAGCTCCGCGACTTCATAGAAATTAATACGATTGTGCGCAGACACCGCGCTGCAATTGCGCTTAAGGGGCATTTATTCCGCGTGAGTCCGTTTTTCCCTCTCGAGACACAGCGATGAATTATATCTCATCTCAGCGGCATGACGGTACTGTTAGCTACATTAAGAAAATTGTTTATAAGCAAAATATCGGCGGCGCGGCGACAAGAACGGGAGTAACGCGCTCGTAAAGCTCGTACCATGTCCAGGGTGCGTGTGTGGGTACTGGTTAAACGAAGCACGTGTTTTTCTTCGCAAAACGAACAGAAAATGCAGGAACACCTGTTACCTGCGTGATACATTATTTCGCGATACTCCCCGCGTCACTTGGCGAGAATACGGAGAGAGGATTCGTCCGTCGAGCGCACATTTTTGGGTAAAACAAATCGATCGAGCGCGAGAACACGCCCTTGCGTCCCTTATGGCGTTAATTTTAATTTCTCAACGGGCTTTGCGAATCTGAATTACCGTCGAATATCTGTCAAGGAGCAGAAATTTGCCCGATACAATCGCCAATTTGTCTCACGCGTAATTGTATTTTCTGTTTACACCGCGCGTAATTTACTTCCATAGTCGGAGCAAAAATACTTTTTGCAGCGTCTCGCAAAATGCGGGAAAATCTCGATTGTCGTGAAAATTAAATGAGAAACACATCCGCTAAATTGATACAATTAGTTTAGCACCATCGAACATGTGTAGAAATCTATGTTTCATTACAACTTTTGTTATAAACAACTTTTTGTTCTAGTCTCTCAATTTTGTCGTTTTGATTGTTTCATCAAAAACGTATGAAAAACACATTGCTCACGTGATTGATCTTTACGGATCAATGGGAAAAATCATTTGCTATACAGTATACTGTTCGATAAAATCGAAAGAAACGTAAATAAAAAATATGTATTTTTAATAATAGTGTTCTTTCCCTTCAAAATTATATCTGGCAGGACAAAAGAATAATGATTGATGGGAGAGAAAAATACGAGCGAGAATAAATCGATATATGTACAATATATTTGGTCCTTTTTTAAACGACACTGTCCAAATAACTAAATGTTCGATTGAACAATATTCGGATAAACGATTTGTTAAACGATATTGAACAATATAGACTCTAGGTTGCCATTGAAAATAACAGTGAAACTAAAATCAAACTAAATTTCTATTAAAATTGCTTCGTTGAAATAAAATATAGTATTTCATTATATTTATTGGAGCGCATTCAATTATTTATGATTTAAAACCGCGACAGTATGATGTTTTAGGACACTTTATGTGAAATAAACAATGAATACGCGAATGCAGTAGTTAAACTCGCTAAAAATACAATACAAAACATACATAACATATGTTATAAATTTTTAAAATATTTCCAATATAGTTGGAAAAGTATCTCATAACAGCTTGTACATATGAATGGCAAATGCTCATACACATTGTTTCCGTGTATTAATTAGTCACTTCACTGCAAATTATTGGCACATCGGAAAGCCGATGAAACTATAGGCAGTTTCAACAATTTGGGAGACTACGTTTCCATTTTCAGTTACCTACGTACACATATTTGTGCGTCGAATACGCGGCGATGGTAAATAAAAGCTCCATCGTTGTATCGTGCAAATATTATGTCTTTTTATTTAACGAAACTGCAAAACATTTGCGTATCATATACGTTATTAATATGCGATCAAATATCAACAATGCCATTCCATTGTTGCCATCAATTTGTGCTTTTAAAGTTTACTTAGAAATTATCGAAATGGGATATGTTTTAAATCATGTTTATCGACAAAATTGATTGATTTATACGTTACTCTTGCGATCGCGCGAGTTTCGTTTCACAATAATCTCTTTTTCGTCTCGGACATACATATTTACCGATACCAATTAATATGCACAAAGTCATTTCGACATTCAGCACTTTTTTTTAAATAATTCGATTTATTTAAATTAAGGAAGAAAAAATCAACATCGAATGATCGTTAATTTGAAAAGCAGATAACGTTTCCAGTTGATGAGACTGCACGGTTGAATAAAAATGCAAAAAATCTCTAAAAATCATAATCCTGAATATACAAATGTTGTGGCGCGATGGATATATTCATTGTACTGAAATATTGTCGAAAATATCATTCCCGAATATTCGAGGCCGTCCAAAAATATGCAGAAAAATAATCGAAATACGCGGAAACAAGTATCGCATAAAATTACATGTATTTTTATCTCTAACTCGTGACAATCTGAAATATATTTTATTGTACAAGAAAAAACACAATTTTTCAGTTTTTCAGTATTTTTATATAATTTCAAATATGTCGGCTGATAACCTTACAACGATGACAAATATCGAGATATAACGCAAATATTGCTAGATATCTTTTTTCCTCGATTAATAAGACTTGGAAAAATTTTTCAAAATTTTGTATAGTCCTGACTAGATTACAAATAAAATCGACAATATTCGAGATAAAGCGTTTTTGCATATTGCACCGCATTTTTATTCGCGGTCTTCTTTTTTGAGAGCTCGCATTTCATCTATTCCGCAAACGTAACGCTGGTTAATGGCGATCGACATCGATGATGCATTAGGCAAACACGCCTGTACCATTTTCGCGTTCGCGCTATTTCACGATGTCGAAAATATACAAGGAATGATCCGCAAAGAAACGCGGAATATCGGTGAATTAACGATAAATATCCCATGCGCGTATTCGATTCTCAATGCTGAGTATCGAGGTATCGCAACGTTCGTATGAATAGATAACTAGGGGTAGATTTTAATTACTAGCTATTAATTAATTATTGCGCACGCGAGAGAGGACTAGATATATACAACTCATTGAAATGCAACCGTTATCGATAGATTGCAATGCGGATATACATGATATCGCGACAGCCATAACCGATTACGCCTATTACGAGTCACGGGTATCTTACATTGGCATATATTAATCTCGCACCGAGAAACATGTTCGCTCCGAGTTGATTCTAGAATCCCGATTGGCAAAGCACGCACAAATACGTGTTTTTTTTTTCCCCTCCAGATTATCCCGATCCAAAGGCTTGAGAAACGTTATAAACGACTTGTCGTCGCTTGTCCGGCCTATATTAACGCAAGGCGAATTTACATCTTACGGTAATAAGTGCATCGCGCGTAACCGGGTAAATCGAAACTGGTTCCCATAGCGAGACACGCTGTCGTACGTCATTCATGCGTGCGTGTAAATAAATACGCGAGAGGGAGATCTGCGAGAGAGACGGCGGGAGTTGTAAGGCGAGTTGTATAAGAGGGACAGGATTCGGGAAAGGAGGGAGGGGGGAAAAGAGAGGCGCGGAAGAGCCAGCACTCTCTGTAGCAGCACTTAAGGATAATAAACTACCGCGACAGAGAGGGAGGGGGGAAGAGGCGCGACATCTTCCGCGGCGCGCGGGGCAGCGGATCTTCCGAAATTGATCGTGCTTCGCGCATACTCTCATTACGCGGCCAGCAATGTATATGACAATAAATGGACCTTTCCCCGATGAGAGGCGAAAGGGGAAATACGAACGGTGAATATGCGCGCCCTTTCGCGACGAGCGACGCCTTTTATCAAATCTGCCCCTCTTGAAGTATTCTTTTCGCCAATTTTTTCACGATCATAGTAAATAAAATATATTTATCATAATAAATATATATATATACAATAGCTGTATCATGATAAATGAACATGTGTGTACGTGTGTGTTTATATATATTGTTATAAATTGGAAATATCGTGCGAGTCGTGTACGAATATAAATTTGTGAATAATTGTTTATTAGATTCGTTGAAATGATAAGGGAATATTTTTAATATATATATATCCATCATAATATCTCGTTTATCGCGCGCAATCTTTCTTCACCTTCTTAAAGAAACAACAAACAGAGGTGAATGAAATAAAGCCTATTTTTCCTCGTAAATCGGTGTTGGACGTATTGACGATATTCCGATAAGCTCGGGCGGTTTTTCGCGAAAATGGAAATTCGTAAGTGAGGCGGTATTGTTGAGAATAAAACGACATATCGATCATGTGCCGCTTTTCGACGCTCTTGATACGGGAACGTCAACAAGGAGACTCTCGACTGCAGAGGACGACCGAAGGATGGATTTAACAAAATAACGCGTAGACTACAAACGGCGCAAACCATTTTTGCGTGCGATGCCCGATCGCGGGATCGCCCTAGAACGACCTCGAGAGAGAGAGACTATCGAGATATTCGGACATCGAGGCTCTCGTATGGACAGCCTCTTCGCTCGAGGAGCGACTCACCGCACTATTTACACACATGTATACATGCATGTATGTATGATGTATGCGCGGGGATCGTAATTTAGTGAATTCAATTTTCGATGCTGTAAATATGAGAGGAATGTATCCAACGCGCGCGAGGGATTCGCGTCTCCTTCATTTCTATTATTCGACAATGGCCGAATTCGCATCCGAATTGCGGCTAACCGTTGCGGGAATCGGACCGATTTGTGCGGGAAAAAATAGCAAAACAGCCGCGGACGTGTGTCAATATACTCTCGTAATCGTGTTCCCTCGCAATTTACTCTCGATACGCGAGTCGGAGAGACGCGGCGGTCTCGAGCTCGATTATCACGAGCGACGTATCAGCGACGAGGGAGACGTCGAATCATCGATATCGCTACCGATTTTCCCGTTTCCGAGCATCTGTCGCGCTCCACGTCAACGTACGTACGTACAACACACGTATACGTAAGAACACGAAACACGCACCAAAATGACACGCACGGAGAGCGATCGACGCGGTTCGCGGACGATCGGCTCTCTCGTGCTCGCTCGCTAAATTTGATTCACTCACCGAATGTGTCCGCCAGTCGACGAGTCCTCGGGCGGGTGGGCGAAGGGGGCTGGCGAGGTCCACGACGCACCTAGGGGAGACGACGCCGCGCCTGATAAATCCAGCGTCGGTGGTGGTCACCGAGGGATCCGAGCGCCGGCGGCGGCAGCGCGACAACGCACACTCGACAACGGGCAGCACACATATACATGAAGAGAGGATCGGTACAAAACACTGGCCGCTGGCACTTGTGATCCGCACGCACTGTATACTACACTCGGAGACAGCGAGAAGAGAAAAGATGCCCGTGGAAAGTATCGAATGTATCGCCGAGTATCGTCGGCAACTTGACGCGATTAAACGCGGTCCTCTTCCCCTTCGCTTTTTCGTTCGTTCGCGCGAACGCGAATGATTAACGTCGAGCGAATCTCCTCTATTTCGCGAACCGCACAGTGGCCATTACACTCGTTTGTCGCGACGAGCGGAGAGAAGCGTGTTTTGTTTTTTTCTCTCTCTCTCCCTCTCTCTTTTTTCTTCTCTTCCTTCGAAGGTCTCCGTTTCACGGACGACGTGCCGGTCCGCCGCGAAGCCGTGCTAGCGACTGCTCTCGGGAGACTGACGGCGCAGCCCGATCGACCAATCGCGCGCCTGCTTTTGCCAAGCGCCATCTTGCCCCTACCCGAGCACAAAGATGCTGCCGAGCCGAGCGTCGCCGAACGTCGGCGGAAACGCCCGATCGTCGCTCGTCCCGTTTCCATCCCCCTACCCCCTACGCCACCGCCACCGCCGCCGCCGCCGCTACCACCCCGCCACCATCCCACCACCGTCACCCCAGCGGCGATGGATCGACGTGCGTTTTGCGGCTTCGCTCCTTCGTCGGTGTCCTAACTTTCGATACGGGGGTTTTATGGCAGGATTAAGCGCGAAGCGAGCAAACTCGCTTGTACATCGAGAATTGTGTCTCGGTAGCGATTCGTCCGTGTCTCCGGCCGACGTACCATCGTTCGAGCTATTACCCCGAATAACGACTGTTTCGCGAAAAGGGGAGCTTTCTGATAAATCTTTATTAAGCTTTCATTCATGCGTGACGTAAATGTACCGTAGACATCATAAATGCCACAATATTCGCTAGATGGGCATGATTTTCCTATCGACGTACCCCATCTAGATGTTGACACATACATCATGATTGGGGGTCGTAGCGAGAAAAATACTGGGTCATTGCATATGAATTGAATCGTATTCCGGAAATTTCAGTTTTACACAATGACTCCTATGAAGCACACGTTTTTCTAATAATCAGACATGTTAATGTTAATATAATATAATTTCTTTTGTAAAAATCTTCTGTGTAATTTATTTATGAGCTCATTAAAGAAAATTAGAAAATGGATATTATTTTATAATTTTATAATCGATATGATCAATAATAGCGTAAATTTGATATTTAACATATATTTCAGATATAAAGTTGAAAATTATTTCTCTTTTTGTACCCTTCACTTCATATTCGATTAAAGAAAGTATACATGAAAATAACTTCTCTTTTTTATTTTAAGTGAAATATTGAAGAAATAATATTATTGTTTTTTTTTAATTACTTATGTATTTTATTTTCTCGCGCACCCAGAAATATTATATGATATTTCTTGATATAAGAAGAATCTTGATATTTTATATGCCTCCTAATAATTATTATAACAGTGATATTATTTGCAAAGATTAAGATCGCGTATCGTAAGTAATATCTATTTATTTAAATTTAAATCTATAAAGTGTAAATCCTAATAATATAACTTTTTTTTTCATTATTCTAGAAATAACACAATCGATTTTTTTTAAATATATTTGCGATGGTGACACATATCAAATGTCAATTAATTATTTATCGTATTCTTTTATATTTCTCATATATTCTTTTATTATAAATTGTCAAACAATTTTCTAAACACATCTAAACACTATCTAATGTATGTGTACGTAAATTTTTTTTAGAAAAAATGTTTAAAAATACATTTGTTTATAAATATATTTAATGACTATTTTAATTCTTAATCGATACGATTTTATAACCTGCTTTTATTTTATATACATGTCTACAATGTTTCTTCTATGATTTTCCTATAATTTAAATTCTAAATAATATCTGTATCCTCTCTCTATGTGTCTTAATGACAATGCTTTTTCTTATCTTTTTTTTCTACGTGATCACCTAGTAATCTGACAAACCATCGTATCAATTAAAAAAAAACAGAGTAAGAGAAGTTAGTTAAGAGATTTATGACGCTATGGTATAATCGATAACAAAAAAATGTCTCAAAATGTCACTTCTAATACTTTTTGTTTCGTAGGTAGATCGCAACAACTTATTGCCACACAAAACGAAAATACATTTTTCTCGATATGTTTTTTAAGGAAAAAAGCTTAAAATGACCATAGAGAAGCTTTGAGATTAAAAATACATGCGGTGTGATTGGAATAATTTGTATATTCTCCAATAGATTCCTGAATTTCCTATATATTGAAATAACGGCTCCTCAAATTTGTGGTTATATGTTCAGAATCTCGTAATCCCAACATATCTCGATAATCCGGTAATATGTGTATATATACATACATACATACATACATATATATATATATATATATATATATATATATATATATATATATATATATATATATGTATATACATACACATATGTGTGTATGTATTAATTAATATCGAATTATCGAGATAAGATTGACATTGTCAGTTCAAACAGAAATGTGAATTTACTTTCCTATAAAAGAAAGAAAGATTTTTGTTAATATAAATATAAATTTGTTAAATATATAACATAAAAAAATGATATAATATAATATATAATAAGAGATATGTTATATAATTTATTTAAATTTAAATGCATAGGCGTTTCCCATTCTCCCTTTATTCTCCACTATCTTTCATTTTTTTTCCGCATCATAGGGATCAAAATTTCCGTGTCCTAGTTTTTTCACATTTGTATAGATGATCCTTCTATGGTTATATCAAATTTCTATTTTTTATTTCAACCATCAAAAAATGTGTAAAAAAAGGAACTGCATTTATGCATTTATTGAATTTTTTATTAATATTGATATCGCTCTTTCGGAATATTAATTCGTCTATTATTAATTTATAACTCTCATATTGTGTGCAGTGATAATATTAAAATCAGATACTTTTTATTTCTATACAATTCCTATATTTATTGTTATTATATTATTATGTTGCATATATATATATATATATATATATATATATATATATGGAACAATAAATATAGGAACAATAAATATAGGAATTGCTTTGAAAATATCATGTTCAACTGAAACGTGGACTAAGGTCATTGTTTCATAAAAGTTAGTTTGTTTCATTTGTACCTAATAGTTTGAATTGAAAGTTTGAGAGTTATTGATTGATTTGAATTACGAGGTTTTTACAATGTATAGCACCAGCAATTGTAATATAACACACAGTGTATATTAATCTTTTTATAAATAGAGTTAACTTTTTCATGCAACTAATTCTATTAAATATTGATTCTAAATTGAATTTTTATATTAAGAAAGTAAAGCAATAGTTATTCTATTAAAATTTGAAATGAATTATTTAGTTATGTAAATGTAATTTGGGAAAGGTATTTTCAAACAATGGCCATTTAATTATCAACAGCGTTGAAATTACGTGTCACAAATTTGATATCTGAATCAAACGACAGATTACAAATGAATTGGAATTTGCAAGATTAAATAATAATATGAAAAAATTCTGTATAACATATTCTTAGTGAATTGTAATATTACATAAATTTTTGATTCTATCTTAATTAATATAAATTGAATACAGATAGATTAAATAGTCACATATTGACGTCGAATACTTTTTGTGATTTTTTAGAATTTTCTTTTTCCATCTTAATTATTTGTTTATAACTTTTAATTCTTTTTATATATGATTATAATTAGTATAATATATAAATAATAAAAATAATATATACTGATTCAAATTTTATTTTTTTGCAAATTTATTCTTTCTTATTATAAACTTAAATATTTCTTGTCTGAAATTTTTTTCAGTTAATCATTAATTCATGAAAAAAAATATAAAAAATAGGTTTATTGGCAGCAATAGTGATTTAAAAAAAAAATGGAAAGTACTGATAGTGCCATCTTCAGATAAAATACTGAAATTCTAAAATGTGAATGTATATTGTGCCGTCGATAAAAACAGAAGGAGTAATCGTCATGTGCAATTCTCTACATCATATACAGTGTACAAATTGACGTGAGTAAATTTTGGGGTTATATTCCACATGATTTTACATTAGGCGATATATTTATGTTATGAATTAAAGACGTGACATGAGATGGGAAGCGGATAACGAAATTCATGCATATTTAGAACAAGAGCATTGTGAAATTAATTTTGTGTAAATATAATCTTTTATAATTTATAAAGTACAATGGACAAGCCTAATGAAGATCAAAAGATGCAGGAGCGTTTGGAGCTCGCTGCCAAATTGGATGCCGAATTGAATGAGTACATAAACAGCCTGGAGAAGAAAAGTTATACAGAAGGATGGCCGGAAGACAAGTGGCAAGAGGAAATGGAAAAACACCCTTTTTTCATGAAGAAATCTCCGGAACCCGGCGACGAACTGTCTCCTTTGATGGAAGGATTGCAACAGCTCAAATATGGAATAGATGAAAATACCCCCGAAGGTACTGTTACTTTCTCAGTACAAATTGCTTACCAGACTTGTGTTTGCAAAATATTCATCGTTACACTTTATTATTCATGCAAGCTACATACTATGCTTGTTTTTTATATAAAATGTTTTCTTTTATACAGAATTGGCAAATAATTACAAGGAAGATGGAAATTTTAATTACAAATATAAAAAGTATCGTCTTGCTATTCTCAGTTATACAGAAGGAATACGAACAAGATGTAAAGATAATGATTTGATGGCTCAATTGTACAATAACAGAGCTGCGGCACAATTTATGTTGCAAAATTATAGGTAGATTTCCTTTTCATGTTGAATGATTAACTTGCTATATTTTCATATTTTATTATATAATTAAAATTGTAGATCGAGTTTAAACGATTGTAAGGTGGTTTTAAAGTCCACTAAAAAAGAGACACTATATTTAAAAGCTTTGAAGCGAGCTGCTACTTGTAACTTTCACATTAAAGATTATGGTCAATGTATTAATCTCTGCGATCAATTTCTTGATCATAGTCCACTTGATAAAACAATATTGAAATTAAAATCTGATGCCACAATTACAAGAGTAAGATATTGATAAATTTAAATATAAAGTTGTATATATAAAAGTATACAAGTTTTTATAAATTCTCTATGTTAATTCACAGAATTATTTACAAAGAAATGAAAGAAAGCAAGCAAAGTTAGAAAAACAATTGAATAAAGAGGAGGAGAGATTGTTAGAAATAATTTTAAAAAAAGATATTAATTTAGAACTGGTAAATGACAAACAAAAGTTAGATTTGAGAGATTTAGAACCTCAAGTGCCACAAATAGCACAAAGTAGAGTGCACTTTGATGGAAACGATAAGCTTATATGGCCAGTAATGATTTTATACCCAGAGACTCAACAAACTGATTTCATTCAAAATTTTCACGAAGATACAATGTATGTTTTTTTCATTTATCAAAATATGGTATATATGCTTTATATTTTGTGTTGAAATATATTTTAAATTGTTCATAGGTTAATAGAACAGTTAACAGAAATTTTTGAAGAATCACCGGAGTGGGATGCAGAGCATCGTTATATCGTTGATAATATAAATGTATACTTTGAAGGCAAAAATAAATGTTCCGTTCATAAAGTAGACGTTCAACTCACATTGGATAAAATATTACGAAATAAACAGTAAGCATATTGGCAATATTTTTTCTATAAAATAATAATAATCTTAAAAAAGTTAACATAATTTTCATGTCAAAATTAATCTTTTAGGTTCATAGTCCGCGGTGGCACGCCGGCTTTTTTGATATTCGTAAAATCCAGTGAAGCAGAAAAACGTTTCTTAGCAAATTATTAAATGTCTATTATTGCATGTATATATATTTTTTATATATAGTTTGTGAGAAAGATAGAAGAAATATGTACCATATATTATGTAAGTCTTATTACATACTTTCATATGCATAGAAAATATATTTTTTATGAGAATATAAAATCTCTTTTATGTATAAATCTTTAAAATCCCTATATTTTATTTCACTGAAATTTATAAAATAATTTTGGAGCAAAAAATTTTGAAATTGCTTATACTAAACAAGTATTAATGTTGTATATACAATTGCAAAGTGATAAAATTATGATACGATAGAAGACAAATATTCAAAAGAAAAGTTTGCTTATGAACCTTTGAAAGCGTTTTTGGTTCAAAATATAAGTAAAAACACAATTAAATATTTATAACGATTATTCATAATAAAGTAGAGATACTAATATTTTTGTATTACTATGATAAAAAAAAATTAGACAAATGTAAGAGTAAATTTCCATATTTTTTAAAACTCACAAGTTTTATATATATTTCAAAGCGTGCAAACCGAATTTGCTCGAAAAAAGAGATTCTTATATTAAATATATATATTAAACATTTTTCAGTAAACTTACATCAATAATGGAGTTATACATTTGGAGCTATAGTCGCATGGAGTTCACTTGACAAAACTGTCAGTTCACTTGTCGCACTCGATGAAATATATTATAGTTTTGCATAATAAAACGATGCCCTGAGACATTTTTTTGGCACTCCCGATATTATATGTTTATTTGCATGTGATGTTTATTCTCGATAACTTAATTTCTTGGAAATATATGTTTAACAATGCTCGCAACTATGGTTGCGTGAAGATCACTTGACGGAATTATCGCACATTTTTATTATTGATGCGATACACTGTATTTTTGCACAATACGATCGTCCGATATATTTCTTCGGCACTCCCGATATTACACAATTATCCGCAAATGATTTTTATTCTCAATAACTTATAAAATCGCAACTCGAGTCTAAGAGATAAATGAGAGTCTTAGACGGTAATATCGTATCATAATATAATTATAGTAATTGTGACCGAATAATTGTTAATCACAGAGATTATTTCATTCCTTCGTTTTGTCGACACTCACGATATTCGATAACGATTATATCTTCACCACAAACGTTCCGATATCGCAAATAATCGCGCGCGATGTGCAATGATAATACACGGTAAACGAGCGCGAAGATAATTAAGAAGATATCTCAATTTCCGTTTCCGTTAGGGTACCAATTCCGTGGTCCGATTCCGAGATTCCGAATTTGTACTATGCAAATATGGCGGTAAACGTCATGACGTAAATTTCTTTCTTGTTAATTTCTATTAATGCATATGTAGATAATAATCGTATCTAGATATTTATATTCCGTGACAGTTAATTTTAAGAAAATCCAATAACATTCGAGTAGAAAATAAAAAGATTATATTATATTATAAAAAGATTATATTAGAAAAATTAAAAGGTTATATTTTTTGTTAACTTTTTATATCTATTGGATTAGATATCTAGATACACGATATATCCAATCCGAAAGAGACACATACCATACGTATATCTTTCATGCATTATAAATGCGTGACATTAATATGCGTGTATAAGAAATATAAATTGAAAAATTAATTATTCTTTTCACGGTAGAGATGACATTGAGCGAGAAACTATTTTGAAAATCCCGCGAATGACGTAAATGAGTTTATGTAAAAAATATAGGATAACGAATACAGGTGCTAATTTATTTAGAAATGTAATAATCAAATATTATCTCGGACACGATAATTGAAATAAGATAAGTATGTGTGTGGCTTTGAAAAAGATAAAAATTATTTAAAAAATGATGCGAAATTATATGTAAACTCGGAATCGAATCGGAATCGAATTATACGGAATCGGAATCGGAAAGTGAAGTGCGTTAGTGATATCTATGTTTCTATTCTAGTTTATGGTTCATGGTGTAATATCGCGCGCGGTTATTTATGGAGCGATATAAATCAATTTGATTGTAATCAATTTGATTTTAATCATAATCGAGCATTATATAAGTGCTGAGAGAACAGTATGATTAATGCTATCGATTCAATCGTAATTATATCACGATAAAGGATTACTTTCATCATATTCGAGTTATGATTTCCGATTATTGAGCATTAATAACCTAACTCATAGTCACATACAATAAGTACGTAAATGTGAAAATAAACATAACATTTAACATAACATTTTTAACACATGATTAATATTAGAACAGAAAAATATCGAGCTATTGTCGTGTATTATGCAAAAATACGGTGCATCGATAACGCAACAATTACAAGTGACTTTTGCAGGATCAGAGTTTCATTGTTAAATGTATAATATCAGAAATCAAATTGTCGAGAATAAATATTGTATGCAAATAAGCATGTAATATCAGCAGTGTTGAAAAAGCCTGCATTGTTGTGTTATGCAAAAATACAGTCATCACGTCAACAAAAATGTGACAATTTTATCATGTAAATTCCACGAATTTGTACGAAATATTAAAATACTATATATAGGTAAGTTTAGCATAGGAATTACTTTATTAACTTTTTTGACATTGACTTTATTTCATAATTTATATATTTAAAATGTAGAAACATTGAATCTTTGTTACAGAAATTATCTTGTTCCGTTTGTCACGTTTATAATCTTATATAAGACGCTGTAATTACACATACTATTACATTTTTTTTTCATATTGCATTTTTTTACGAGGATGCTTTACGAAAAGAAAAATAGCTTTTTTTTGTCACTCGGAAAGATCATGTTTAGTTCGAAAAGCTTGTGTTTGTGAGCAAAAACATGGTTAAAAATTCGCCGCGGTTATTTTTATGTTTTACGTAAGCAAGAGACACAAAAAATAAATAGTTTCCTAAAAGACAGGAATCAAGAAGAAAAAGTAATTTTTTAAAGCAGAGAGAGATATGTATATATAAATATGTTGAAAAAAAATTGCCGAAAAGTTAAAAGATAAAAAAAGCGGTTTCCTGAAGTTTTATATAAATCGAAAAAGGGTTCGAAAAAGGCTTTCTATTTTCTCTCTTTCTTTTTTTACAAAAAGTGAAAATGATCGTCACGGATTTTTAACCCCGTTTTTGCTCGTGCTCATATTTCACGCTGTGCTCGTATTTTAGCTTGTAGAAACTGAATTCTGAAAACAAATCTCATTTTTTTGTCTCTGGCTTTTTTTTTTTATAATCGCAATTAATATTACAAGATATATAAAAGACACATTAATTTTTCTTTTTTATAAGAAACAAAGAAAAATTATATACTGTGTATTAATTTTTTTATTGTTTATTAAATAATCTCCCCTATTAATCCTTAACGATCAATTGTTTTAGCGGAGAGAACGCTTCCTCCTTTCTCGCGCGTCACGGATTTGCTTTCACGATCGTTTCTCAGGACTCGGCGGGATCGGTAAAGTGGTCGGTAGGGGTCATCGATCGGATGGTGGTGCCACCTGTAGCACCTGTCAATGCCAGGTGAGGATAAAGAGAAGGAGTCGCAATAGCCTGAAATTCAGTTGAACTGACACTGTGGGACACGCGTGTGCGTTATGCGGTTGCCTCGTAAATTACGTTGAAATCGAGCGTTTGGTGTTAAAATTTCTATTGGTGGATCTGCGGAAAATCGGCAGAAAAAAAACGTTGGTCGTTTTATTTCACGAAAGACTCGACAAACGAAGAGACGTAGTGGAGAGACGCCGTGGCAGAGGAAGCGGCGGAACGGGACGCAAACGATGCTGAAGCGATGCAAGTAAGATTCCTCGTATCGCTCTTGCTGTTTCGCGCAAATACGTGTCCTGTGTGAATCTTTTTTTAATACGACCGACTTTGTCTCGTTGATGGGTGACGTTCATGTGTCAAAATATGTCAAAATAAATATTAATTTTTGTTCGACACATTGCATAGTTTATTGCAAAATAACGCGAAGAATAATAATTCTTTCGCTTCAAACAGGAGTATAAAATTAATAGTTACACAAATTTTGGTGATTTTTTATATTTCGCAAATTAAATAAAGTCAAATCGAATCTCTTGTATATCTCATTTTATTTACAATTCTTCATTGAGCTATAATTTATTTTAGTTTTTCCAAAAAAATAATAATGATAAAGCTGTATAGTTTTATTATCGTCTCTTTTGCAATTTATAATGTATTAAAAAAGATTATTATATCCGTGTTTGAAAGCAGTTCCTCCTACATCTCAATCCAGAGACGTGTTAAAAAAAAAAGGTAATGCTGAGACGCTTTCAAACTTTCTCAATCTTTTATGTAGGCATTTTAGTGATCGATCATTTGGAAAGTGTATTTGTTCTCTAGAGATATTCATAGATACAATTCGTATGAAAAATTTTAAATAAATTTTTAATTTTACATGCGAAATAAAATTAAATAATCCTTAAATTTTAGTTAAATATTAAATACGATCTTAATTTGTAAAAAGGTAACATGAATTTATATTTTGCAGAAACATTTTATTAATATAACTATCGGATGACTTTTTATCTGCAAAAACCGTATGATATTGAATTCCGGTTTCACGCATTGCTCCTGAATTTGCGCGTGTCACATTTTTATATTTCGAAATAAAGCGAAGAATGTGAATGTCCATAATGATAATGAGAGCTGATCTACGGTATCGGTTGTATTACACACAATGGCATTCGCACACGACAATGAACCGATGTCATGCATTAAATTATTCATGAAATAGTTGTTGCACCGCACGATGATAACGATTGACGCGTATTTTGTGATGAAAATTTTGCATTTGAATACGTCACGGCATGGTTCTGTAAAAATTAAAAGCATCAATACAACCCGAGTAGAGTCCATTGGACCGGCTTTCTGGGTCAGAACAGATCGCATCGACCGGAATCGATCTCGGAGATATTCTCTCGCGTCGTATCGTGCTCGTCGGAATTCGCAAGGTTCGAGGGAGACGTTTTGCAAGGGTATTAAAAGAGAGACACACCATGGTCGGTTGCGCGTCCTAGTTTCTCGTGCAGGACACGCGGGGCCATATGTGCATCTCCCTGTCTCCGGGGCAACAGGGGGCAATATGTGTCGAGGGAGTTGCGTCACGCGAGGTACGCATCGTGCGGAAAGAAAAATGCGCGAGCGGACCCGATTGCCGAACCGGTTGTGACGACGATTCAACATTCAGCAGATCGCTGATCGAGAGAAAGAAGTACACTATAAGCGATATCATATGTTTCGATAAGAATGCTTTATACGTTCCTAGAATAAACACGGAGAAAATGTAAAGATAAAAGCTTTATCTGTATGTAATATTCTTATTTATAACTGTTTTAAATTTTATTTATTTATGTCAGAAATTCTTTTTCAAAAACTTGTAGAAAAATCATTGATACACATCATATACATATTCATTATTTTATTTAGCTTTTATATTTAAATTAATCTTGTCACATGCAATGCCTAGTCTATTTTATTTGTAATTTTAATTATTTTATTAACCATTAGTACAATAATTAAAATTAATACAAAATTAATAATTAAAACAATAATATAAATCATTACATATTAATTAAAAAAGCATAATATATAAATAATATAAGTTAATAATATAAATATATAATAAATTCAGCTATTATATCTCATCGTTTTAATATCAGTGTGTGAAACATCAGAGTTCTAGATTAACATTTTATATTAACATTTTATATCCGACATCGAATATCTCTTTTTCTTTTTGACTTTATACAATTGAAGCGCTTAAATTTGATAGAATGTCGACGCGAAATCGCTTCGCGACATGTTTTGATTTTGCTCAGACAATCAAGACAATCGCGCAAATTCCGATCCTAGAACTCTCTCTCTCTCTCTCTCTCTTTCTCTCATTATCAGTTTCCGTCTCTTTCCTCGTCTTACTCGTCTCTTCTCAAGACGACGATGTTTCACACACGAGTACGTGTAGCCGTATCATGACACGGTCTAACGGCATTCACCCGACCTCGTCAACTCGTTCCTCCCATGTAGCCGTGTATATCCGTGCATTCCCGCATCTTTCTCACTCTTACATCCTTGCTCGTAATAACGCTCTCATCACGCGTGTACAATCATTTGTCATATCACGGTGGGTCATGCCAATCAATCCAACACAGTGCAGTCACGTCAAAACTCGTTTTATCTCGTGAATTGTACGATTAATTTCTGTGTCAACAGAGTCACATGTTTTCATCATTTACTTGTATATATATATATATATATATATATATATATATATATACATATTTTAAATTGGAAATCTATCTCTCTGAATAAAGTTGAGAGATTCATCATTATGAATATTACATTTGGCAAGATTTAAAATATGGAGTCTGGTGTTTAAAAATTTCTCCTAAAGTAGTAATAATTCGAAAAAATGTTGAACACATAAAATGCAAATATTTATAAAATAGTGAAATATTTCGTTTTTTTTTTATGATATTTCAAATCTATGAATATTTCCAGAAGGCATCTAACAGTAAGTTCTAACATTCACAGGATACTTTGCTCAAAACACGTGGAATCGCCGTACACTCATAATTTCATTTCCCCTTGAAGAATGTAATGGATGTCATGTAAATGAAAAGTAAAACGTCGGCAGATCATAATTTCTTTATCGATAAATTATTAAACAAAGCAACAGTGCACAAAACTATGCTTGCAACGCAAAAGAATATCATTTATTCGTGATAGTAGAAATGGAATTTCCTTCGTTTTCTTCAGTCAGGGATTACTTACGTTACAACTAACAGAAGCTGTAATAGGAAAATACTTGGTATATATTTAAGTCCGACTTTAATAATGCGCAACGACGCGGACGCAATACGTTACATTGCGACAATTGCTGCTCCAGTTCCGTCAAGAATGTTGCAGGACAGCATTATGCATGAATCTCAACGTAAATTCGCATTTTTCCGACAATATAAATAGATTAAAGATAAATAGGTAAATAATTTATAGCGACTTAGACAAATGTTTGCAATTCATGCATGATTTTAAAATTAAAATTTCGATTTGCCGCAATTTCCGAGCTGTTTTATATAAAAAATTAAGATTAGGTCGCTTAATTTAGATTCTCTAAGAGGAATATTTTAGTTTTTACGACCTTTTTTGGCAACCTTTTCACAACCGTGAAATTTAACAATGGAAAAGGTATAAATCATTGATGTAACGGCAAATAACGAAGTTTCCTGCAATAACGAGCACTTGAGAAATGTCGGATGGCAAGAAACGGTTATTATATATCGCGCCTCTTAAATTTTATCGTACCGTTAGCGATTGTCCTGTGTTGCTTGTTTATTACAGATCATTAGCAATTCGTTTCATTTTATTTTAAAGCAATGGAAACTAGATTGTTCTTTACAATTTGGCGCGAGTTAGGGGAAAAATACGGAATTTTTCTCGTTTCTTTCTTCTCGCTTCCCGCATCCTTAACGAAATTTCCTCGTCCCATTTCGCGCGATTTTAAACGGAAAGCGGAAAGCAGCTCGACAGATTTGTGCATTTTTGCTTTAAAAATGTGCACTAGCGTTCTACGATTCTTCAATTCCAATTTAGGTCAATGCAAAATGAAATTCTATTTTCTCAACATAGACTCTTGTTCATGTCGTTTGTCAATTTTACTCTGGAATTTTTATATACAAAGGCGTTACTTTAATGTTAAAATTTTCTTTCCTTTTTTTAAAACTTTCAAGTTGAAAGAGGAGATTCTAAAAGAGAGAAATTATTTAAATTGTAGATGTGCTTATTTAATAGTTGTTATTTTTTTAAATACTTTTATTCTTAGAAACTTTTTTTATTTTAAAAAATGTTAGAGCTAAAAGAAAATATAAAATGTGATCAAATATATGTGATTATTAAAATAATGCGCTAATATAATGCATGTATTCAAGAATTTTATTCGATATTTAGAATAAAACATGATAACTGACATTTTTAGTATTTCAAGATATAAAAAGAATAATTAATACAGCAAGAGAACAGTTTAAATAGACAAGAAGATACAGAGCTTCTTAGTAAAGCTTATTGGGCCATCTTAAAAAAATGTGAGATGAGGCACCCCTTTCAACAATAAGTTTCTAACTCCCTTCCTTATTATTATTATTATTGAAAAAAGAATAATGTTTGAAAACGAATTAAACTAAATATATCGCATTATGTTTTAAACATTTATCATATCTCAATAGAAATGATCAATTGTCATGTTTCATGCCTGGATGCTCCATTCGTCTAACGTATCCATTTTCTTGACATAGTACGAAACTTCGTCTAGTAATTGCTTAACGTACAGATTTCTCTTACAGTTGACACATCGCGACGTCTCACGTGGTGAAAAAGCGTGCTCTAAGATACCATTAAGGAGTCCCGACACCAAGCGATACTCGAGGTGGATTTTGAAGCGTCGACGTTTTAGAATCCCGAGAAATCGCTCACAATAGTCCCAGATTAAAAACAAAAAAGGAAAGACTTTATTTCGCGACAACATATTGAAGCGGCGCACGTGAAAGGAACTTTCTCCCGTCGTCGAGAGAAACTTCTAAGGTGACAATTAAAGGAAAGAGTCCTCTTTTGTGCTCGTTGTTTTCACGAGCCACCAGAAATATATGTTATATGATAAAAAATCGTGATGATATCTACGCTCGAATTACATTCTGCAATCTACCACCTGTGGCTTCTGATATCTCGTCGGATGTAGAGAAAAAGAAAGCACCGCGAAAAGCCGTCGCACAAGGTCTCCGACTTTCAGATCGAGATTAAGCTCTCATTTTTAAAGAGCACTCGCTGTCCATTAACTTAGATGAATGTTAATGGCGAACGATCGTCTCGATCGTATTCACACATTTGAGGAAATTGATTTCGTGAAGTGGAGAGAAAAATGTTGAGATCCGTCCGCGATTTACAAAGTACTTTGAAAAGCTGTTAAAAAAAACGACGAATTATAACGACGAGGGAACGCCCGTTCTGATAAATGAAAGTCGAAAGTCAAAGCCGAGATCAGCTGATCTCTATTCAAAGACCGCTGAACAAAGAGCCGTGAGATCAACGCAAACTCGAAAGTGATCTCGGATGATCGTTTCCGAAGGACAGTTTGGGAAGCACGTCGTGGAGATCCGTCGAAAAATCGTGTAATAATCGGAAGTGAGATTGACGGCGTTCCTCTTTCTTTTCTTTTCTGTCGAAAACCGTGGAAGGTAACTCACGAAAAACGGCGAACCACTACGGGGTTCATTACGCGAACTCGTACGCGTACAGCAACGGCGCACCGAGTGTATACACCAGCACCGGTTGTTGCACAAACGGTGGCTACAACGTGCAGCAACCGCAGCTCCACGAGGATTATCGGCCGATTTACTTTTACGTCGCGCAGCCCTACACGATCCCGTATACTTTCGCCAAAAGACCGAAGCCTGCCACGTCGTCGTCGCTGCTAAGGGCGGCCAAGCCAAACAATTACCGCGTCAAGTTCTCCAAGCGACTCAGCAACGCCGACTTCTCGCAGAAGGTCAAGCAAGGCGAGTTCTCCCGGAGTCTGAACCAGGTGCACTTCGCGGAGAATCAGGGTCAAGGTTACTATATGATTTTTCAATTCACTCAACACTAAGATTAGATAGCTTATTTTTAAACTATTATAACTATTTCTAAAAGTAGTGCTTTCTGTATATAGTAGTGCTTTCTGCTATCTGTATAATTTTATTTACCTTCTGTAATTTTATAATCAATCATAAATTACCGTCTTCTGAAAATTAAATTTGAAAGTTGGTTTGAAAGTAAGCTTGCCAATTAATTATTTGATTTAATCTTTGCTTGAATTATTTATTTCAGTTCTGCATGATTTACTTAATAAGTTGATTAATTTAACAAGACTTTTGATATGTAGAAAACGTTCTGTAATATGCATGATATTGCATTTTTGATCGCTTTAAATACTCATAGATTTAATGACATTCTTTTTTCAATAATCTAATATGCTCAATTCTCTTTCATCGAACATTTAAATTACATGTTTGGATTATAATCCCGAATGCGTATATATAAATCTAATTATAACGCGTATGTAATGATGTTGGAATTAAATAATCTATTAGAAATTATATATTATTACACCGAGTGCTGATTTAGCTTTAGCTTTCTTCTTTCAATTTGAAGAGAATTTTAAATTTTATTAAAATTGCTATTTGCAATTTTTTTGCATAATTAAAGTATTATATATTCATTTTTTTATAATGAAAAATTGATGATTACAAATAAATATAATATAATAAACAAAAAAAACAATATGAACAAATTATTTTGAATCTGCCAACACAAAAGTGCAAAATTTTAACGAGAGATTTGTATTGTATGCATAAAAGGAAAAAATATTTATTCTCTTAAAAAACATAAAAAAAGATTCTTTAATATCTTTTATATTTAACCCATTTTACGATGAATATGCAACAACCGACAAATAAAAGAATACCAAAAAGAAGAAAGTAAATACATAACATAGCAACATCAAGCTTTTGTAGATTCCCTTTCGGGTCGCTAAATCTCGATAATTTAGACCGACATTGTTCCTTTCTTGAAGATTATTTTCCGAGAAAATAATTTGTAATTTATTGATTAATTGTATGAAACGCGTTGTATTCTAAATAATTTTTTGCGGATCAATTTATCTTTACGTAAGGATTGCATTTAATATTAGAGTTTCGAGTGCTTTGTATTCAAGGTACTTTCATACGCTTGCAGATTCTTTTAACAGACCAGATAATTGTTGCGAAAGCGACATAGTTTCTATGTGGCATAATTTAAACAGTGATTGTCGTCAAGTAAATTACCGATAGCCACGCGAAGAGCATCTCATTCTCTCTCTCTCTCCCTCCCTCTCCCTCTCTCTCTCTCTTTCTCTTTCTCTCTCTTTCTTTGTAGAAATGTGTGCATGTCTCAGGTCAGTTAAACGAGTGGAGAAAACGTCTTGGAAAGAAAGGAAACGAGCTGCGATGCACGGTGATGCAAAAGCTAAAAATAATGCAGCAAAATTTAGCTTTTCGTAAAATAATTGGTGCAAGAAAATCTAATAATTCGACTATTCAATCTTCTAATCGAATATTAAAAACACATTAGCAACAAAAGAACCTATAGATTAAAATAATACGGTTGATAATATAATGTAGCAGTTAATATAATATATATAATATATAATGAGATATTTTCTTAGTTAATTCCGATGATTTAAAACTAAAATTTAAATATCAGAGTAAATTAATAAAATTATCTCTTTAAAATTTATTGTGTGTCAAAATTATCTCTTTAAAATTTATTGTGTGTCATGTTTATCTTTTTATTTACTCTTTCTTTAATTACTCTTTAGATTATCAGATTTTTGTTGAAATTCTCTTGTTTTTCAGGGTTATTATATATACAATGCGAATCGCGGAAAAACTTTTTCTTGAACGGAACAGACGCACTATTCCGTTTCCACGAGAGGGATCGAAGAATGTTTCGATGTTAAAAATTTGTACTGTTATTCCGACAGTAGCTGTTTCCATCGGGAGATTCTCATGTATATGCGGTGTAACGCGCGGATGATGCTAATAAGATGCAGCGAGGCGAGACTCTGCTCCATGCGAGATCGCGAAGACGTTTGCTTTTCGCGTTTTGTGCTCGATAGAGGATGAGGAGCGCTCTTTTTAATACTTTGGCACGAACGAACGGTGAAAATATGCGTCTCGCGATTTTTTCGCGTGAGCACTTCGACATGCTTGACAAGTAAGAGAGAATTCTGAAGAAGTAGTCGGAGAACTTTACACGATATATAATCGGAGAACTCTATGTATAGAAACTACGCGCAACGAACCTTAATGTTGCTTGGCAGTAAAAGATATTCTTGGATAATAGCATATAAAATAGGCGCGCTAAAATTTATTTATAAAATCATTTTATCTAATCTTCTTCTTAACGTAATTCTTCTTTGCTCCGCAGTACTCGCGAACTATCCGAAAACTGGACCTTCTCGTGATCCGAGAATGACGTCGATGTTTCGAAGGGGCACGATCTTTGCGACGTTTTTCCTGTCATTGTTGGGCGGTGGGCTCGTCTGTGCTGCCCTTGTGACGCAGCATTGGGTCGAGGCACGAGCTTGGAGAACGTCGAATCCCCAGGAAAGCGCGGGCAGAGTTCACTTTGGCCTGTTGCAGGGAAAAAAGGAATTAAATGTCGCTTACGGATGGAGGACGTATCACGTATCTGGTATGTTGGTATTTTTCGCCTTTCTCTTTGTACAACTCGGACTATATTTTGCACATAATCACAGGATTTTTTTCTCTTATAAAGGAGTAGTACGCAATCTTGAATAATACGCAGTATTAACAGTCATATAATTGGAAAATTGATATGCAAAACATGTTACTGTTAGCTAAAATTTTTCAAACTATATAGAATTTGTTGTAATAATAACATACAGAGTGTTCTACAATTCGTTGAAAGAAGTATTTATTTTATAAGGAATTAAAAAAATAACAAAGATTTAATTTTTATAAAAAGATTAAAGTACAACAATAAATTAAATTCTACAATATGGAAATAAAGAAAATTGCACTTATTTAATGTCGTTGCAAGAAACACACATACAAAGGAGATGAAATAGTAAAAGATTTAAAATTCTCTTTTTAAAATTGTTTTTTTTTCGATTTCGTAGATTCAATATCATGCAGCGTGAATTTCTGCTAATTTTCTTTAATGTCCCTATTTTTATTCGGGATTATCCGTATCGAAATTATTCGTCCAGAGCGATTTTCGTGATAACTTCATAAATCGTAAACGAAAGAGTCGAGTATTGTGCGATCAAGAGCCGGAAACTTTTTTTGAATTGTGTGACTCGTACGCGACGAATTATGATCGGGCGGAGATATGCGCGAGAGAAAGGCTGGATGATCGAGCATACTGGTATGCGGCAGGACCATAAATCTCCGACTGATAACCGAGTGCATTAGAGTTCTATACGGCGTCCAACGATGCCTGCGGTTGATTGCGGACGTGTGACGTGCATGCATCTACGATAAATCATCGATTTCATAATCGTTGTTAAATTTGTTCTATTGATTTCGCGTGCCGATCGAAACGATCACATCACCATACCCTTTGTGCCAGATGTGCTCGAAGTACTGACAATCATTTTTTAATAAAAAAAATGCAAAATTTGTGAGCGCCCTGACAGAAGATTGATGTGATATTTGACATTTACAAATTTTATTGATGCGTGAAGCTAATAGGTGTATTTTTAATTATCTTTTATAGCGATGAGAAGAACAAAAAGTATTTTTTTCGAAAATTTGTTAAGATTTTGATGGATACATTCTTTTTACAATGCTTTTTTCATACATGTTTTTTAAAATCGATATTATTATTACGAGAAGAAACTGTTGTCGTGTTATAATCAGCGTACAATCGCACTTGAAGCGCTCATCCGCAAAAACACCTGCTCCTCGTGACATTTTAGAACTGGTTATCAATGGAGTCTGCAAAAAACTTGTTTGAAGAGCATACATATGCATATATGCAATAATAAATAATTTACAAAGAATATTTCCTAAATATATATTTTTTTATATAATTATTATTTTCTTAAAATAAAATAATTATTATTTTCTTGTAATAATTATTACTTTCTTATAATTTGGCGCGCGTTTTATTAATTTGTACGGAAATTACTTACATAAATATATACGATAAATATATAAATACATATATATATACTCATATATGCATATGTCTGTGTTGGTGGACGTAAAGCGTTCTTTAAATGTTGAAATCTTTTTAACTTATTCATGATGATTTCATCTAGTGTCTAGTGTGCCACCACTTTTGCAGAGCGACGATGCATTGTATCCGCGAAAAGGATGAATATCCTATACACAATGCATAATAATCGTGCCGATGAGCAAGCAACTTTTACATTGCTATTATACCGTACTTCCGGAGAAAAACAACAGAATTGCTGGCACGCGCCATGAGAAACATTTCTCTTTCATTCAGGCGAATAATAAATCTGAAGGGATACATAAACTCGCATTTTTCCATGACACCATATATTTCAGATGTACCGAATATTCTTTTAATCGCAACTTCTCTTCGATCAGCTTGGAGAGGACTTTTCCTCAACAAAAATATCAAGAGAAGTCATTTTTTATCACATCTTTTTAATTATTAATATTGTATATTCACATATATAATTATACTTTAAATTAAAATTTTATTAAAATAAAAACCAGTTGAAATTAACTGAAGGATCTGATTCAGCTGGATATTTTTTCATTTCTTATTTTATTTTATTTTATTTTCAATTCTTAAACGCAAAAATTATATATCTTAATATTTTTATTCAAGAAAACGAAAGAAAGATTGATATCGAAAAACTTGTTAAAAAGATATCTACTAGTTTTGATATACTATACATCTGACAAAGTATGCGTATATTTAATGAACATGTTGAATTATGTATACATCTTTGAACGTAAAATCAATTCCTATGCTTTCCTATTGCTTTTCACGATATAACCCGCCGATATGCATCATAGTTATATTAAGATAATTATTGCTTAATCATATTTACATCATTATTTATTATTACGAACACGATTATTATCTCGCTTTCAGATCATGGATATTTATAAATGCTGTGAGAATGATGTAAGAAAATGCACTTGTGATTTCTTGACTTTTTGAAAGACAAAAAAATAATTCAGTCAACGTTTTTCTTCTAAATAAAATTTTGGCAGAGTAAAGTTTTATATTTTTTATTACATGGCTTCAAAAGAAGCAATTGGTAGGCCTTTCGTGAAGAGATTCGAATGATATACATATGTATGTATGTATATACGTTCAAATTTCTCTTAATGCAAAATCGCAAGCATGTGCGCGCTTATATACATTGCCAAGTTACGCGGATAACAATACACAGAAACTAGTTTCCGTGGACAAAAATCATGACCAAGCCTCGTGGTCTACTTTCACATGCGCGCGCTACTCATATCATCAGCGTTACTGATGCTGCGACTGCAGTAAAATCATCTATTGCATCTATTGCATTCTAGTGCGCAATCAATTTTATGTAGAAACCAGCAGAAGAAGCAGCAATATTGACTTCACTTATAGCATTCGCAGCTATGTGTTAGGGATATTGCATATAAATACTTTAATATTTATTAAGTGCATTTCTTAGAGGAGTTTTCAGAATAAACGTATTATCGACATATTTATTATAATTTTTATATGTAAAAATAAATTATTCGCACATTTTTATAAAGATTATATTGCAATTATTTTGAATAGAGTTTTAAAGTTATGAATAGAGTTTTAAATTGGATTAGATTTTTTGTACAGATTTAGGATTTCATTCACCAAGAAGGAAGATTATTTCTAGAATAAAGTTTATTATCCTGAAATTTGAGTTAAACTAATGTTATTTTACATTTCATAGCTTCAATTTCTGTCAGAGTTAGCTCTGGAATGTAAAAATGATAAATGTATCATATCAGATTGAACCGATAGGGACATCGCGACTGCGGATAGATACGTTTTTGAGTACTTGAGTACTTTGTAGTAAATGCGTCTCTTCGAGTCGGCAGTACTCGCAGGAGTTGGCGGCCGCCTCCGGCGAATGCAATGATCCGTTATTCACGCCGTCGTAAGTTGAAATGTCTCGAGGAAACTTTGTCCTGGAAGCGTGTAATGCGCAAGATATTTCTACTTATACTCGATCTTTCTCTCTCAAGTTTGCGTCATGTCCGAATATAAAATGCGATAGCAGCGGCTTTTAGTCGTCGTGGTATGCAATAGATTCCGATCAGGAAGACGTCAGTAGAAAAACGGAATATTGTACATATTTTCAAGAGTGCGAAGAGTTACTGGAGATATATATTTTCATGTGCAAAGTTAATCGCTCGAGATCTGGCTTCGTTTCAATTTTCGATCATTATGCTACGCTTGCATAATCTACGACCTCATTCCTACGATATGTTGAATACTTGGAAAAGTTAATTGAAATTTATTTTAAGAATCATTTAAGAACGATTGATAATACTGATGGAAAAATTGTAAAAGTACCACGAAAAAAATTATATTAAAATATATAATACTTATAGGAAAAAATTCATGTACGAAACAATCTGAAATTTTCTTGAAACATTTAAAAATTTTTAAAAGACATTATGATATTATAATAAAATTTCTCATCGCGATATTGAACGGCATACAAAATAGGCTTATTGCTTAATACATTTTGCATAATAACGACGATTATTAATCGCGGAATAGTCATAATTGGAACATATAATTACGGGATATATCCGATCTATGATGAAAAGCATAATTAATTACAGGCTAATGTTAATAAATTGTTAAGTCTTTTATTTATAGCAATGATTCCGATTAGGAAGAACTTTTAGTTCATTTGATAATTGACATACTCATAATAGAATATTGTATACATATTTTCAAGAGTGCGAAGAGTTACTGGAGATATATATTTTCATGTGCAAAGTTAATCGCTCGAGATCTGGCTTCGTTTCAATTTTCGATCATTATGCTACGCTTGCATAATCTACGACCTCATTCCTACGATATGTTGAATACTTGGAAAAGTTAATTGAAATTTATTTTAAGAATCATTTAAGAACGATTGATAATACTGATGGAAAAATTGTAAAAGTACCACGAAAAAAATTATATTAAAATATATAATACTTATAGGAAAAAATTCATGTACGAAACAATCTGAAATTTTCTTGAAACATTTAAAAATTTTTAAAAGACATTATGATATTATAATAAAATTTCTCATCGCGATATTGAACGGCATACAAAATAGGCTTATTGCTTAATACATTTTGCATAATAACGACGATTATTAATCGCGGAATAGTCATAATTGGAACATATAATTACGGGATATATCCGATCTATGATGAAAAGCATAATTAATTACAGGCTAATGTTAATAAATTGTTAAGTCTTTTATTTATAGCAATCATCATTAGAAGAATTTTATTATTTGATAATTGCACATACTCACAAAATTTATATATATATATATATATATATATATATATATATATACATATATTGCTGTAATCATTGAATCGTTATGTAAAGTCTAAACAATATAACATATTCACATAGTTCGAATATGTTAAATAAATTGGAATATTTATATTTCTCATATTACATGCAATAATTAAAAAACATTATTTAATATTATATGCAATGGAAGGATGAATAATGTAAATATACAGTAATATAATAAAGTGGAAAATTCTCTAAAATGTACTATATGTTTTGATTCTTATATCATTGCGCTGTGATTAATAATGTTTCTAATTATAATGTTTTAGTTTCTCAAATGATCCGGCAGGATCCATCAGTAATGTCCTGGGCTCTTTGGATCGTTACTTTAATAACAACTTCGGCTGCTTTGGTAGCGGCTGCACTCGCTGCACTTTTGGCAGTTTTAAATACAGCTACTTCACCAAGATCGAAAATTCTATCCATTCCTGGCGTATACTTCATAAATATGTTAACGCGTAAGTATAAGTATATATGTTTTAATGAAAAATAATAATTCTCAATAATACTAAAGTAAGAGGAAATATAAAACGGTAGATAAGAACCAAAAAATAATTCTAAATAATTTAAGCTATATTTTATTTATAATAAGGGAATTTTTGTGACTCATTTTCAGTATTAATGTGCTTAGTTAGCACTTGCACTTGGTTAGCGCAGTATTATACAAGACTGTATGTCAATGTGCTTCCAAAGGAAGACACTGACTTTAAATGGACGAGCGAGGGATCTGCTGAGCTTGGCTATTCTTTTTGGTAAAACATTCTTTTTATCTAAAGTAAAATTTTTCGATACTAATTTGTTTATTATCAAATTAGAATAATATAATCAAATTTTTTCATTATAATTTTTCGATTTTTATTACAATTAATTGGAAGGCACTAGTGTGACAAGGATAAAGAAAATGAATCTATATATATATATATATTATAAGATTGCTCTCTAATTACGTTTTATGTATAAAATAAAATGCTGTAAATAAAAATAGATGTACTATATTGATTTAAAGTTTGAAATAAATAATTAATAATTTAATAATTCTTTTTTCAATTAAAATTTAATTATACATGCATTTTTAGTATATTTCTTAATTATGTATTAGTTACGAAATTGTAACCAATATTTCTTAAAATATATTTTAGTATAGACATTTTACTTTTATTCAATAAAAATTTTTCCAGGCTCGTTGTTAGCGCTGGTGTTGTACATCTTATTAGCATAGCATTAATCGGCTGGGGATCCGGCCGAGAAAAGGATGATCGTCTGGAACCGATACCCGCGCTTGAAGAGAAAACAGCCGCAGCGATAATGTTATACTAAACGTTGTTATAAATGTTTTATAAAATACAAGACTAATTCAAATAAGGTAAATAGAAATGAATTAAAAAAATTTTTTTAAAATTGGTAGTACCTATATCGACATTGAAATGAAAATTAATTAATAATTCCGAATCAGTGAATTTTATGACAAACGTCCGTAGTGATTGATTATAATCCTAGTAATTGCTCGTTTTATATGGTACAAAAACATATGAAACTTTGAGCATGGAAAAAAACGCTTTATTTAACTTAATCTATACATTACTTTTTATCGATAAGGCCGCAATCTAGACAATTATCATTTCAGACTTTCGCGCGTTAACAAATTTATATATATATATATATATATATATATATATATATATATATATATATACCATAAGTAATATATAAATATAAATATTCGTATACAGACGTACAGTGTATGTAAATCATATCCTACAAATTCAGATGTGCATTTTGTTATATTGTTTTTGTTATAGTTGTCTTCGATTTCATAAATAGTTAAAATTTATTTTTCTTATATATTTAGCACTATGTTCCTTTTTTCTTTTTTACAAAGGCTATTATTTTGACTAGACTGGGCTCTTGAGAACAATGTTATAATATACTATTTATATATATATATATATATATATATATATATATATATATATATATATATGTGAAATATTCAAGTAATTAGAGGATATATAATAAGTAAGCGTGGTGTGCCTTTTCTTTGAGACATTCGAATTGTTTTACAATTACTTCTCGATATTGCTCTTCTTCTTTTTTTATATAAATTATACGATTTATATTTTATTCGTATATTCGTGATAAATCATACATGAAACATATCATAAGATGTAAATACAACGAAAAACTGGAGTGTGCTTTCTTCGAGAGTGTATTTATTACAACAATGTCATGGGTGTAATAATAAAATAGCGAACGAGATTACATTGTGTATAATTCTCGTACATATTTATTTACGTCGAGATTCTCGTTCCTACAAGCTATTTCATGTAAATGACTTTACATATATTATACATAACGGTAAGTATTAACTGTGTAGTAGGAAAAAAATGTATATTAAAAACCGTACATTCTCTTCTTAAAGAAAAATGTATGAGACATAGGGTAATATAAAAATCTAACAAGAAAATTATATGATCAGATTTCTTTAGTTCTTCATCAATAGATCAGATTAGATAAATTAAATCGATTGGATAGCTCAAAATGTATATATTGTCATTCCTGTATTTTGTACAGTAATCAATATATTATCATTCCTCTAACCAAAATATTTCTTTATCTTTAATTCCTGTTATACATTTTATTCAATGCATACATATGCAATTAATATAAAAAATTATATGATATATGAAAGAAGCAATTCTTTAGTATTTATTTAGATATGTATTACATAATGTATATTCATGTAATTTTCAGTGTTAATTGCATTGAATAAAATGCAGGAGTAAATTGGAAAAACGAAACATTTTAATTAGACGTTAACAAAATACATTAATCATTTTACATACTTAAAAAAAAAAGTCAACTTAATTAACTTCAACAACGAAAATATTTAAAAAATTCTTGCATCATTTTACTCCTTTGTTAGATTTTTGTATTATCTCGCGTCTTATATACATATGTATAATATAAAAATTATATAAACGTATAGATACATTGGGTAATACATATGTGAACGAGTACTAAAAAGAGTTCTCTCGTATATCGCGCAAATCGGTTACATTGATTAACTTTATGCTTTCCCTGACATAATATTTTTTGTCTGGAAGAAGAAAATTACACACGAAACAATAGAATTGGATAGAGTATTTATTATTTCCATATCTGATAAAAACTCCATCCACATATTATGTGGATTCCTCTTAAAGAATAAACATATATAATTTGGGAATCCGATGTTAGCGCCGACTGACTTTTGACCAGCCATCATCTTCCAATGGTCGTCTTCTGTCGTCGGATCTAGGTGGAAGTCTATCATCTTTACGCTCATCTCGTCTGGGAAACACAAAAATTAAAAAAATTTTTTAAAAAACTAAAATTTCACGATGCGACCTAACGCAGTTATTATATGTATGCATAATACTTACTCGCGCTTGGGTGGTTCTCTAGGAGACTCTTGAGGCGGGTCGCGTTTTCGCCAATCCTGATTGGTGTTTCGCGATTCCCTGACTGGATCATCACGACGCTCACGATAACCGCCACGACGATCGGACATTCTACCGCGATCTCGATCCCGATCATCGCGTATCGTATCACGTGAAACTTCGCGTATCTATAATTATAATTAAATGAAATTATTTTTCTAAAAACAATATACATATACATATTATTAGATAGCAAGAAAATAAATAATATGTCCTCAATATAATCAATAAAATATAAAATAATATAGAAAATAAGAATAAAAGAGAAGAGAATATTATTTACATAGAACACTGTAGGAATATAATGTTCTTCGTGAGGAATGTATACTTACACCACGTCCATCCATTCCGCGATCACGTTCGCGATCGCGATCGCGATCACGATCGCGGTCACGGTCACGCTCACGGTCATCCCTTTTGTCGAAACCACGATTGTCCAATCTATCTCGATCTCTTAAATCTTTGTTTTTTTTTTTTTTTTTTTTTTTTTTTTTTTTTTCCGTCTTTTTTCTACGGAATCCTCAATCTTGTCATCACGTTTCCTCCAACGTTCTGCATCGTTTTTGAGTCCATCGGAATCCTTATCGGCATTGCGTCGCCATGATTCCATTGCTAGAAAGGACAAAAGTAAGATGAATTAAATATCATTGGTATATATATATATATATATATATAAATATATATATATAATATATTCACATATATTAAAAAACGCATGTATCAAAAAGAATATGAAAATAAAAATGCTTACTGGATTTCGGAGCATCACGTTCACGATCGCGGTCACGATCACGATCACGATCACGATCACGGTCACGGTCACGGTCACGGTCATTTTCTCTATCCATGCGTCGCCAAAGTTGATATTAGATCTTTATCTCTCTGGCGTTCCTCCTCTAATTTGCGTTCAATCTCGGCTTCCTTGGCTCTGATAATTTCGGCTTGTTTCTTCAGCTTAGCCAAACGTTCGGCTTCCCTGGCTTCTTCTTCGGCTCGTCTAATTCTCTCTTCTTCTTCCTTCTTGGCCCTTTCCTCCTCCAGACGTTTCTTCTCTTCTTCTTGTTTGACACGCAATTCCTCGAGACGTCTTCGTTCCGCAGCTTCCGCGCGTTCTTTCTCCCATTTCGCTTTACGTTCGATCTTACGTTCCATTTTGCGTTTCAATAATCGCTTGGCACGTTCTTCATTCAACAATTTCTCAAATTCCTTCAGTTTCTCCAGATGTATGTTCTTACGTTCAGCTGAGATCTTATTTAAGAAAGTATCGTGATCTTCTTTCATGCGTGCCAGGCGTTCTTGAGTCGCAACAGCCTCCTGCCTCTCTTCGATAGCCGCGGCGATTCGTTCATCCTCTTGTTGCCGCCAAAGTTGTTTCGCTTGTTGCATTCTCTCTTGTACAGCTTTCTCTAGCAACGGAATCTCTTCAAGTCGCTTGGCACGCTCCAGATAATCGACTTTCTTCTCTTGGGATTTGAGTTTCTGTTGCATCTCCCTTCGCTCTTTTTGCAGTTCTTCAGCTTCCCGCGCTGCGATCTGCTCCGCGTCCAGCTTCTTGATCTCGTCCTCGTCCAATTTCTTGAGCACCTTCTGCCCATGACTTGTTTGCGAAATCTGTTGCATCTTTTCCTTGAGATGACGATCCTTGATCTGTTGAATCTCACTCTGCTGACGTTTTCGCTCACGTTCCTCGCGCTCGTGCTCCAGCCGCTTTTGTTCCGCTAGCATTTGCTGCCGCTGAAGTTCTTCCTGTCGGCGCATCTCTTCTTCTTCACGGACTGTATTGATGTGCTCTATATATTCTTTTCTTTCCTCGATGATCTTGTGCCTGCCCAATATTCTCTGATGTTCTTTCGTCTTAGTCTCATGATAGTGAGCGACCATCGCGCTACGCAGCTTCTCATGCTCGTGTTTCTTTTTATTGGGATTTATTACGTTAATGGCACGATGTAACACAGTTGCCATGTTCACCAACTGGCAGCGTATTTGTTCGGAGGGCATCGCTTGTAGCACCGGACCGTCCGGATGATCTTCTCGTTGAGCCTCCGAGAGGTCCACTCCGAAATGAACACATGATTTGCCGTGATCTATTCTGATTTGCATATCGTTGTAACGGACGCAGTCCACTAAAAGACGCTCAAGATGAAAATCCACCGTGAATTTAGCGAGTTCTAAAAGTCTGGAAAATTGTATAGTTTGATAGACTTGGGAGATCTGATGGACGAGACGTACAAGCGTTACATCTTGCAAAGCTGGGATGTATTGAATCAATGGGCTGTTTTCGTCCGCTTGTAATGTTTGAATAACGGAATCGACTCTGCTACAAAGTTCCAATGGATGAAACTCCACCTCTAACCACGAGTACAATTCCTGTAACTGCGGTGACGCGAGACTAACAACGTTTAAACGGACGATATCTTTCAATAAAGAAACGCGTGTTGGTGGTTGCGAGAGGCCCAAAAGAGTCGCGAGTTTCTGAGCTTTTTCCAATGGACTCTTATCTGTCTCTATGAAGCGATCAAATTCCGGGTGAGCTGATGGCAACGGTATCGATAACGTTGCCAATAATACACGGTTGGCCATTCGCTGCTGTTCTTCCGAGGACATATTCTTTTTCATTTCACGAGAGAGTTGTAAAAGTTTGAATAACGCGGCCGCGTGAAATAGATAATTGCCAGCCTTCCAAAAAACCATAGCGAGTTTCTGATAGTAATTAGCCATTGTTTTTGGTACAGGAAGTTTCTTCGATAGATTCATCATACCATGTACATCCTCTGAAGATTTAAAAGCTTCCTGCCACAATTCCATTTGTATTGCAGAATCTAATTGATTTAATCTAGTCTCTAAATTTAACTGTTGTGTCTCTGCTTTATTCATAGAAACATTCGACACAAGTGGCGGCAGTTTACATATTTCCTCAAGATGTTTTCGTAACTTTTCGCATAATTTACGAAATTCAGTCTTACGATTATACTCGAGACAAAACTGGAAGGCCATACGCGCAATATCATGATAAAGAGTTTCTACATGTGCATTAGTTCTGAGCAACTCCAAGCATTGGCAGTACGATTCCCATAAAAACTTTACCCAAGGCGTCAAAATAGTACGATCGCTTCTGTCTTGCGCGTCCTCTCCGCTAACCGCCGAAAGTAAGATGCTTTCGGGTGTAGCAAGATTATCAAGATCGTCAATATCGATTACAGCTTGCTGACTCTGTTTACGTGCCGCATTTGTCTTTTCTTCAGCCATTCTCAAATAGCCACGTATCACATTCTCTAAACTCCCGACATTGACAGATTGAAACATATTTCTGTATTGGAATAGACCTTCCTTCGCTATGTGCGATTTCTTCAATTCTACACAGAGATCCAGATACTTGAACATTATCGGCTCCAATACAGACTCTGACCAATTGTATGTCCATTTTTTATTACGGAAGACTTCTTGCAATGTATCTAACGCTCGAGCTGATTTGCCCACTTCAATAAATTCTGTTTAAAAAAAAAGAAAAGTATCAGTGCAACAATTATATTCAATTTAAAATAACTTTCTTAATTATAGAAATTTATAATACATGACAACTACAATTAAAAAAATTAATTAGAACAAATATAAATATGTCAAAAAATATAAGATAATGACATAATTAAAATAGTGATAAAAATGTATTCTTTTTATTTATGTATTCTTTTATATGTATTCTTTTTATAAATACTATATTTTTTGAAAATGAAATAAAAGTATATATTCAAATATAGAAAGAACAATGAAAAAAAAAGATGAAAGAATTAATTGTCATAAGTATTTCCTACTAATATCAATTATTTTTTAATATCAGTTATTTGCTTATATAACAAAATATGATGATATTTGAAATAACATTTTATTATAACAAAATATAATGACATTTTAAAAGAAGATTAATAATATTAAGTCGATACAAAAATAATGCAGGTTTCAAACTCTTGACTTTGTAAACACATATCTCAGCTCAATGTAAACTTTATTAATCAAAATAAGAACCATTAGAATCTATACATTTTTGCAAATGAGAAACAAGTTTATTAATTCCAGTTGCACAAAATTCTTAAGTCCTGGAATCGATGAATTTTTCGAAGCTTCGAGCTTTTGACAGCTGCTTGGTTGTCAAAGATTTTCTCTTGAAGGAAATTGTCCAGATGCATGAAAAAGTGATAGTCACATAGTCAGTTGGCGAGAAATCTTATGAGTAAGGTGGATGAGGTAGAGTTTTGTATCCTAATTCGCTTTTTTGTAACATGATTCGCGAGACATATGGTCAGACATTGTCATAGAGAAGAATTGAGCCCTTTTTATTAGCCAATGCTGGATGCTGATGTTGCTAATTTTCTATGCATTTTCTCAAGTTGATGACAACAGTTTGACAAGACTTTACCTCACTCACCTTACTCACCAGACCAACTATCTCTTTTTCATGCATCTGGACAATTTTCTTCGAAAGAAAATCTTTGACAACCAAACAGCTGTCAAAAGCACCTTTAAAGAATTCATCATGGTTCTTATTTTGATTAATAAAGTTTACATTGAGAGCTGAGATGTGTTTACAAAATCAAGAGTTTGAAACCTGCATTATTTTCATATCAACCTAATTAATATAAAAAAAAACTAATTTATCCTCCGCATATACAACACTAAATAGAAAATTAATTTAAATAAATTTAATTAAATTTAAATTAGTAAAATATAATGCAAACATATTTCTAAAACTTAAAATATTTCAATATATATCTCATATATCTTTATTAAATGCAAAAAAATTGCTTTATATACAATCTTAAAAAGGATTTTTTTGTTCTTGAATTTAAAGAAGATATATAATTTTTTATGACCTTCTACGATAACTCCGATGCTTATAAGGCTTGTAAGAATGATAATGCGAATGCATATGGTCGTGAAAAAAGTATTCTCGAAGAAAACAATGAATAGATATCTAGAATTACGTGAAGTAATGCTTAACGCTCAATAATAGTCGACGCTTAACAAAACTATATCCACAAGCCAGAGTTCCTGAATCCCTGAATTCGTCGAGACTCGCGTTTTTCGCGCGAAAAAGGTGTGGGTTCTTTTTTTTTTCTCACGCGCGACGTTAGAACTTAATGCTATCGGCCATGTCACGTCGTGCAAGACATGAGGCGGAACCGTGACTTACCGTTCGCTCGTTTCAGGGCGTTTTCAGGTCGCTGCCCGTATCGCGCCATAATTCCTTAACGTAGCTCCTTGGCTATAGTCGTGCAATAATATCGTTTAGAAGATAATGAAAGCTCGTTAACGACTTCAAAATTCCGATTTGCGCAATAACACGTATTAAATGTTCTTTACCCAACCGCGTGTAGCAAGCTTATGACATGACCACAGTGTACCGGATAAGAGAGGCGGTCACCGAGAAAAGATGGCTTCCCGTAATACGTTAGTTAAAATGTAATCTTGTATAACGATTGAGACAAACCGCATCTGACGATGAGAGGTTCTCACGTTTTTAAAAAATTGTGTAATCGCATGTCACACACAGCGATCATTCGCAGGTTACATTTATTGTTACGTAGTTTCGCAAATGACTAGAAGTTAGCAAGCTAATGGCGTTTTCGAGTGGTCGGGTTTGATCCGACCCGGGATAGTTTACTAAACATCATTGACCAATCACAGTCATTCTTTCGAAGAATGTAACCATACCATAGTTAACTAGACGTCATTAACCAATCACAGCCATTCTTCTGAAGAATATATGGTTACATTCTTCAGAGGAATGGCTGTGATTGGTCAATGACGTCTAGTAAACTACCCCGGACCAGGTCGAACTGACCATTCGAAAACGCTATCAGTTTCAGCAGTTGCTCTACTGAACACGACCAATCATTCGGCGAATTCGATACTTCGAGAATCGCAATTTGTTTTCGATAGATTTCAAATTGGTCGCATCATCGAATCGCGCGTTCAAATCGTTCGTTTTTATATTTCTGTTAATTGTTGATTAATTGTTATCTAAAAGTGAATCTTGCCGAAGAAGTTATCGCGAAGTGCTTTGTGAAGTATCAAACACTTGTCGTACAATCGCTGTTATATATGAACATTGTGATTTCATTATCAACTTCTACGATTCCGGAACCATTTTTGTATAACTTATTTCATCGTCAAAATGCATCGTCACAATTGCAATAATCATCAAGTATGTATACATTATTGTTTGGTAATTAACTATATGAAATTTATTTTGTGTAACTATTTATGCAATCTTAAATTTGATTTCTGTAACATTGAATTTTTGTAATTAATTTTCGCTATTTCAGTATTTTTCAAAGCGTAACATTGTTTTAATAATTAAAAGATTAGTAAGACTGATTGCTTTAATGAATTTTAGATTTCGAACCATCAATCATAAAATTCGTCAAAGCAAATCATTAAGTCGAGTTTGTTCCATTTTTTTGTGATTATCATTGTTTAAAAATTTTCGTTGAGAATGCATGCAATGAAATAATTATAAAATATATCTTGTTTTAAATACTGTATGATCGCAGTGCAACAAATTTAAAATTGCATATGAATTCTAATTTTATTATTTTAATGTTTAGATTTTTTATGTTATCAAAATATTTAATAAAACAAGTATTAAATAATACAACAAAATAATAAAACACATAATACATGTGTACAAAAAAATATACATTACATTTTTTACATACTCAGCATAAAGAAATTTATTTATATTATCTTTTTAAGTTGTATATAAATATTTTTGAAATCTTACTTTTGTATATAAATACTTTTTAAAAACATGATAATATAATAATGAAAGTCAAGCACATAATATCAATAAGAATAAGATATCGAAAAATAGAATGAAACGTTAGTACAATTTGATGATGATAATTTATCATATTGTATTGATAAAATTTTATTTAATGCAAAATTAAGATATAAAAAGATATCAATACGCTTAATACATCTTGTATCTTATTCTTATTATTATTTACTGTGTCTTAACATATTTACACATTTTGATTTATACATTATTATAACATAAAAAGATTTTCGGCAATAGCTAAATTAATAAGAAAACTTTCTACAGCCGGTGCAAAGTTTTTCTCTTTAAATATCTCAATAGAAATCATCTTTCTGCCATCTGGAGCTTGAACTGTTGCTAACGAAATTAATTGATTTAAAAGATCTTTCGTTTTATCACTTATCTCAGAAATAATTTGTGCCTCTGTGTAGTTTTGATTTTCGCATAGTTGAACCATAAATAAGGCTATTTCTTTGTGAGTTTTTGTCATTGTAAGACTTTCTAAAATAAGTAAAATAATGATTAGTCAAATTATTAGAAAAAATATTTACATTTGTTTTATTTATTTAAGAGAAATAAAAATAATTTTTAGAATTTTTTTTATTACCTTTTGCGTGCGATGCTACAGTAATTTCTCGAGCAGGAATGTTTACGAGTAAGTCATATAGGTCTGTTCTTGATGATATTGAGCTATTACTGCAGCCTGCTACATAATATGAATATCTCTATATGCAACAAAAATAATAATTATACAACAATATAATATAATAGTGTCTATTAATTGTATAAATATAGTTGCTAATTAATGTTATTATATAATAATAATGTTACTATATAATAATAATAAATAAAAATTGACATTGATATCGACTCATGCAGTCCATTTAGAAATAAAATTATTAATTTATATTTTCTTACTATCAGAGATAATTTTTATAGAATACTTACATACCTTTAATTCAATTAATTCATCATTTACTAAATCAATCCAAGGAAAAAGATTATCAGTCACTTTTCTATGTTTCATTAATGCAGGAAATGTTCTTATCCATTTAAGAAGTTGCTCTAAGCTATGATGATATATAATAATCTTTTTCTTCAATAAGAGAGCAGTATAAATCAAAATTGTTTCTAATTCAAATGTTTTAATCAATTCTTTGACATTGGTACTAGCTGCAAATCGATGAGTATTAAAATCATCAGAGACAAATGTTCCATTCTCCTGAGTCGAACATGACCCTTTTGTAAATACAGAAAGATATAATTGTAGAATCTCTGTTGGTTTTCCTGTTTTGCAATACATTTTACTAAGAACTCGTGACAGCACTTCATACTTTTGTGGATTAAAATCCTTTGCAAAAAGAACCAATGCAAACTGTTTTACCTGAAACAATTTTGAAAATAAGATATGAAAATTTTTAACTGTATGATAAAATACTTTTTTTGATGAGAAAGATAAAAACTTTTAGATACTTACTTTTGGTAATTTATCCGAGTCGAATACTTCACTGCAATGTATATAAAACCAATCATGACCATGTCTTGCACACACAAATACATGAGGAGAACTATGTTCTAATTTCATATTGCATTTTCTTGTAACTACAGTCTTCTGAGATTCCGTTACTGCAGGGTATGACCATGTCCACAAGATATCTCCATTGCAATCTTTTTCTAAAATTTTTACTCTTGTTTAAGCATACTAAATAACGTAAATATTTGATAATGAAAATAATTAACTTATATATTTTTATTATTTTCTACTTTTATTATAGAAAGCTATGCTATACCTATTATACTACAAGAAAGTAAATCCGTTAACGGTGCCATTTAGGATTCTTTTTAACAAGGATTTTAATCAACAATAATAACACTGTTCAAAACAAGATATTAAAGTACTTATTCTTCTTTATGCTTTGGTAATGTGTGAAATTATTATATTTTCTTTTAATAAAATAATTCTATATTTGCATTGTTATAAATACTTATCAATCTAATAGCAAATTGTCGAAATAAGTCAGCTATATTTTATACATATGTTTTTCTTTTTTTATTTTGTCGGTATTAAAATCTAACACGGTTCTTTAATTAATATGTATATCTCACATAAATAGAAATTGAGGTTATGCTTAAATAGTCGACATGACACCTTTCTGTCAGCTGCAGTTAGTATGGAAGGTGGAAGGGAGAATAGGAATCTGTACGCATATTTCCTGAATTTAATGTTTTATTTAAAATAGATATATACTTTGCAATATATATTTCTTTTTAATGCAAAAAGAAAGTTATTAGTATCTTCACATTTTCGTTCAAACAAAATTTATTGTCAGGAAACTTGTTAAAATTAGTCTCAGCAGTTAAAATATAAAGAATTAAAATAATAATTTGAATAAATTGCTAAATCGTGTCTAATACACAATTTTTAGAAACAAACTAAAAGAATTTATTATCAATTCATTATTGTGAAATTGCTACACGGATGGATATCGTTTTCATTTCACATAAACGAAGTAATAATTAAAAAAACGAAAGAATACATTAAATAAAAAATTTGTTACAATTTACTAACTCTATGATACATGTATTGTTCAATTATAATCGTGAGAGATTCTTTACTCTATTTTGCTTCATAATTTTAAATTTAATTTGATTTTTTAAAAAACTTTATATTCGAAAAATATTAAATATTAATAAAAAACAAAAATTAAATTAGCTTTAAAATATTGGAGAGTATTAGATAATATAAAATTGTTATATATGAATAAAAACAATCTGTATTATTATTAATACATAAGTATTATTTATTTACATATAACACATTTATATATATATTATTTAATAGTGACTTAAAATAATAAAAAATCTCTCATGAATAATGAATATAACTAAATAATGCATATATCATATTTAGCAATTTAGCAGTTTATTCAAATTATTATTTTATTTCTATATTACAAATATAAATAAGTTTTATATTACACAAATATATGTGCAAAAACATTCCATGTTAAAAAAATTTTATAGAACAATTTTTATGAAATGCGCTTAATATTATAACAATTAAGTTCAATCGATACATATAGTTAGTTAAATATTTATGTAACAATCTTTGCTTTAACTGTTTAATTATTGTGATGAAACGTATATAATAATAATAATTACAAATTATATTAATACTATTAATACTAATAACTAACTACCTAAATAACAAAAATAATCATTCTAATGTCATTTTGATGTGATTTTAAAATATATATTTTTATCGAAATGTACGATTCTTAATATTAAAGATCAGGTAACATAATTAACATAATTACAATAACTTAATTATAAATTTTCTATAATTACTTTTCGACAAAAATCTTATAAATAAGCTGTAAAATTACTACATTTTTTATACAGATGAATATGATAAATAAAAATTTTTTTTTTATCATGAAAATGAAATAATACTGAAGGAATAACAATTGCATTATGCTCATGACAAATAATATAAATAGTAGTTCAATTATGCGATTATTATTTGCGACATATTGTTTGCTGGTATTTGGAAAATAAAAAAAATGATATGAAAGAATGAAGATATGTGACGCCTTACTATGAATTAATGAATTATTAACAATTATGAATGTATTGATGAAAAATCGCAAATATGATGCTTTACTCGGAACTAATATTTTTATTTAAAAGACATTTTTTAGTTGATCATTTTTAATGAGCAAATTGTTACTTGACTGTCGGGGGCATTGCCGAAAGGTTTAATTCCATCAGGTGTCTCGTATTGGTTCACTTGATATACCAACAGTGTTTCATAATTATACACATCCGTATCAAGTTGCTGCATAAAGTTTACGTAAAAATATAAGTTAATAATTGTCTCAGCAATATGTTATATCTGAATCTATATAATTATCAATATTTTTTATATTAATAACTGAAGATTAATAAATGAAGCCTGCTTCAAACGTGATAAGACTTGAGACAGAATTTTATTTATAATTTTATAATGACAGAATTCTCTTATATGATATTACATTCTATGATATTATTTTCTATTCATAATTTTCTATAATTTGAGATAAAATTTGATACGAAATTTTATTTATCATTTTATGTGTAATATAAAAAAATTTATAAAAAATACAATATATCTCATATCAGGATACATTTATTAAAATGATATATCAAATTATAAATAGAATTCTGTCTTGAGTTTTATTGCGAGTTATATAGATAAATAGCTTAAGTATTCAAATTATAAAATTATGGATTTATTGTTGAATTTATCGTTTACCTGAGTGAGAGGATTAGTATTTGTAGTAAAAATTCCGGCGTATCCTTTTTGTTGAGCGAATTGTAAACAATACTCGTCCATCTGTCCTATCACCAAAACGTTTTCCGCGAAATTCAACTCCTTGTATGTTGCCATCATGAAATTATAAAGAATTTTACCCTTGTCTCTTGGTAATTTATTATTTCTTATCGGCTCTTCCAAGTAGTTGAGAAAGTCAAATATAATCGTTAATTTAGAGGTCAGTATTAGTTCAGGCTCGTCCCGAAGATCAAAGTTAAGGGTAATTCCGATAATTTTGCCATTCTGTGCCGATTTCATCACAAAACTCAAGCCATGTTCCACGAGAGGATTCCACATTAATTCCATCAGTTCTCGATAATCGGCTCTTGTTATGTTCGGCATTAACCATTGTTCCAAATCGGCTTTCGAATAAAAGCTCTCTGTGATTATTCTGCAAATATAAAAATATATTTGTTATTATATTTTTATTACTTTTTGCATATATGCATGTACACAAGAGTGCTATAGATATGTGTATATAAATTGACAACAAATTTTGAATGATACTTACTCGATCGCATCCTCCTTGTGACAATCACTTAACAATTCAAAGATATACGATTTTTGATCAATTATCTTCTTTAGAGGTTTTTCATCAGAAGATATGAGTTTCATGCGGTCCAATATTTCGGCCAGATTTTTTGCTGTAATAAAATCCGTGATACCAATCTGATAACCCTGGTCCCTTAACTTGGTTATAGTGTAAATGGAATTTAAGGAATTTCCTCCGAGTTCGTAGAAATTTGCATGCGAGGTTACTAGTGTACGACCATTACGTCCTATTATGGATGCGACAGTCCGAAAAAGAACTCGAGCTTTTGTAAGATCTTGATCTGACACACCACTGTAATCGCAATTCGTAGCAATGTCGTTTTCTGTAGAGTAAAATTTTCCATAAGTTTAATATATGTTAGCTAATAATAGTCTCCATTAAACAAATAGATTTTAAAATGATTTTTTATTTACTTATTTAAAAAATCGAAAGATAATTCATTCTTGGTATTCAAGTTTTTAAACTTTGAGAAAATAAGAATTATAAAACTTAAAAGTTTGAAATTTTTTCATTTATCTTGCTTTTCATTCTAAATTATAATTAATATATCATTTATTTACGAGAAATAATTAACAATTGGTATAACCGTAGAAATATACATACATGAAATGCATTAAGTTATATTAATTAGAAATTTATAAGGTAAAAACTAAATAACTCTTTCTTATAAAGATGTGTATTATGCTTGTATTATAATTTTTTTAAGAGAAAAAAACTTTCTTTAATTTTAATGTAAGCATAATTATTTTGCATTTGTTGAAATAACGTATGAAATTTAATTACTTAATGAAAGATATAAAGTGAATTTTTTTATTCTATATTGTCTTTTTAAGTCATTATTCTATTTTTCATCTAGTTATTGCAATTTATATTATAAGAGAGATTAAAAATATTATTCTAATCTCTTACAAGAAATCTACATACTAATATGATGCCAAAATAGAATGAAGAATATCTTTGGAGTGAAAAATCTCGGAGAACCGGTTTTCAATACATTAGTAATATGATTTCATGATGAACTTCTATATATGTGTATATATATAGATAATTTTTTTGTAATATCTCTGTTTTTACATCTAAAAATTTAAATACTTGTAAATATGTTAATGTAATTAATATCCCCAAAAACTTATCTTTTTAAAAAAAGATAAAAAAAGGCGCCAAGTTCATGCATTAATTGTATCCAATTGTCATATTGTCTACAAAAATAGTAATATATAAAAATATTGCCAACTAAGAATAAATTTTTATTCTTAGTTGGCGTAATTTTTTTATGTCACTACTTTTGTAGACAATATGATAGTTGAATACAATTAGTGCATAAACTTGATGCGACTCTACCGTGTCTCTTGATATTGATCAATTATGTATGTAATTAATATATTGATCAATTACATACGTAATTAATATATTGATTATTTACAAAAGTGATTAAGGAGATATATGATACACATATAATATTTTGTTTGACAAAATGTGATATCTATCATTAATTCGACATACCATTATTAGGGCAAAATGATTCATATTGCTTTAGCAATGTCTGTCGATCCGTTTTTCCATTGATTAAAAGAGGTATATGGTCAATAATAAATATTTGTGGTAACATGTATGGCGGTAACGTTCTTTGGAGGAAGCTTTCAATTTCCGAGCTAGATACAGTCGTATCATCAACGATGGTAACAAAAGCTATTAGCGCCTGAAAGAAAATGCAAAATATAAGCTTAATGTTAAGAAATTGATTAGTTTTTTCTCAATGAGAGACAATGCATATTTTTTCTAAAATATTGCAAAATTTTCCTTAGGGAAAAATGTTTAGATTTCGTAAAATTGTGTATACTATTTGGTGGAAAATCTATATTTATAAAGTTATATTTAAAAAGTTTTTCTAATATTCAAAATGATATGTGCGAACAGAAATATTAAAAATTAATTTTATATGTAAAATGATTAGAGAAGACTTTAATTTTTAAATGTTTAGATATCAGAATATGTTTAGATATAGGAATAATATAAAACAAGTTTTAAAACATTTTATTTTACTTTACGCGTATATACGCTATATATTTACCTGTGACAGTTCACCAGGCTTATGACAAAGAATTACGACCTTATCGATACCAGATAGCCTGGCGATTATTTTCTCGATTTCTGTAAGATCAACGCGATGACCTCTAATCTTAATCTGCGAATCCATTCGCCCTTCGTAAATTATCGAACCTTTGACGATTTTAGCATAATCGCCAGTACGAAAAATCTTTGGATATTCTACAAATGAATCAGCATATTTATTTGAAGTGTATACCAAAGAAATATAATACAATATAATAAGATATTTTGATTATCGCTTCTTTTTGCGAAAGAGATTACAAATGGGAATATTTGTAAGATACAGTAAATTCTTCAAGTTTAATATAGATTAGTATTTGATATTATTACGTTTTTTTATTTTTTCATCTAGTTCAATAGCGTAAGGATTGTCCAAAAATTTATGTGTGTCTCGTTCATGTATATAACCTGCGGCAAGATTCCTTCCTGCCACGATTAGCTCACCGACTTCTCCCTGAGGGATCAATTGCATGTCCTTGTTCACAAGATAAATTATGCAATTATCGATTGGCCTTCCTATAACAAAAGTCCGTTGAGCGATATAGATGTTGTCAGTAATAATTTTTTACGATTTTTTTATTAGCTACATTTCATCAGTTTACTAGAATTTCAGATATTAGAATGATATCAAGTCATTGTCATTTATTTTTTCATTAATTTGACAAAATTAATTAATTATAAAATTAATTATAATCAATAACATCAATTCTTAAATCATATTCGATAGATAAAAATTATACCTATTGGCACTTTCTCCATTCCTTGTAATTGTGCGCGGTTGCTTAAAAGGTAATACGTGACGTCACCCATAACCTCTGTGCTGCCGTAGAAATTAGCCAATATCTTATCTTTGTTGCTAAATGTAGCAAAAAACTGATCGGCCAACGCAACCGATAAAGTTTCTCCTGAACAGATCCAGAGTCTCAAGTGATCGAGAACATTGTCATTATTCTGCGCGAAGTAACAATAGAGATCATATGTTATAATTAAAATCAGGTTTCGTAGACGTACAGGATTATTTTTGTTTTATAAATTATATAATAACTCAGATGTTTCGATAATTAATGTATTATATTATATAGAAATCATACTACATTTTAACAAGACGCGAAAAATATAGATTATAAAGCTTAATTATAAAATTATCTACTTTATTTTTTAAATAATAATAAATTTGTGCAAAGTGATAATAGATAATTGCGCGTTTTTTTGCTAGAGACTTAGAAACATTAGTTTAATCTACATGTAATTTAATGTTTATAGAAGCATTGATTAATGAAAAATTTTTTCTTAATTACAAAGATTACGATCAAATATCACATTCATCACTTTGATTTAAAAGTCATCGATTTGTAAACAGACTTTGATTCAATTATATTTTGTTTCATACAAACATATTCTGTAAATTATTGAAATATGACTATCGCGAATAAACTTGTTGAACATGTGTTTCTGAAGTAAAACTGTCTTGTTGAAATGCCAAGAGTACAAGGTTATATGGAATTTTTGCCTTACCTCTAAGAGAAAAAGTAGGTAACGTTCTTGCGTTGCGTACTGTACATTGTAGATTATACTTATTTATATTTCACATGCAGAAACCTATGATTACTATCGCGAGTTAAAGATCCTATTTATTTTAATAATCAAGGATTAAAGAAAAAATATTAATCTTTACCTCTTATAGAATGTTGCATAAAACCAAAATTAAAATTCCAAGAAATTTATATATAATGTTACTTTATCTCTTAACAAAAAAATAAATGCGTAGAATGGAGTTGTATACTCACTCGTAGACCCAAATACATGAGTAATGAATGCAATAATGATGGCACAAGAACTAAGCGTTGTACCTGAAACATAGATGATATTTCGTGTTCCATGAATTATATCATGCGCGCATAAATTTAAAATATATCATAAACTTTGTAAGATTTTAAATTGTTTTTGATTAAAAATATATTTTTTTATTATTTTATAATTTGATTTATTCAATTCATTTCCAAATTATTAGAGTAAATAGTACGCTAATTACAAGTTTATTAATATTATTATCATATTATAAAAATAAATTTTCTGTACGATTATTTCTTTTAAAATATAGACGAACTATATATATATATATATATATATATATATACACAAAACCGTCTTATAAAATAACAATATTCAATTTAATTTATATTAAGAATTTTTTTTACATAAGATAATTTCTAATAAAAAATTTGCTAAAATGTAAAACTCTTTGACATGTTAGTGAGATTGATTTTAATAAAAAATACATAAAAATATAAATTGTATTATTTTTTTATGTATAAAAGATTGTATATTTATATAAGAGAAAAATTTTTAACTTTATAATAAATTCATAATATATAATCTTTGGAAAAATAATATATTGTAATAATAATAAATTTAATAATATAATATAATAATAAATTTACTTTGTTTTTATATTATACATTTTCAAAATGTATATGTATGTAAGTGCTTGTTCAATCAGATTTTTATGTGTGACAGATTTTTTGTTATAATTATAATAAATATATTAAAATTATATAATAAATATAATTTTATTCTTTTTGTAATTCTGTATCTACTTATAAGAGAACTATAATAATTCATTTTTATTTATAATAATCTCACAAATTATGTATCAAAGTTTTTTACACTTATTATAAAACACTCTATACTGTTGCAATTATTACGCAATAAATTAGTAAATTTTGAAAGTTACTTGATGCTTCTCTAAGAGTGGTACGAATCTCTCCGGATCTTTCGTCACGTTTTTTGGCACAATTACTAGTGTACGTCCCTGTAGAAGGGGTCCCCAAATCTCCGGAACACTATCGACGAATGTGAGAGCAGTCTTAAAGACGCATCGTTCTTCATTATTAACATATGGAAGCTCCCTCCATTGCCATTGTAAACGATTTAGTAAAGTAGCATGCGGTATAAGCACACCTTTAAAAAGATTATTACATGATATGATCAAGTGAGATGTGAATTAGGTAAGGTCATGGTTTCATAAAAATCTGAGTATGTTTCATAATTATGAACATATTTAATACATCATACATATAATGCAATCAGACTTTATATCGCAGATTTTATTTCAATTATTATAGCTATAAAAGTGCAACGATGCATGTACTTTTTTGCATCTGAATAGAGAATTGATTTTTTGTAAGAAAAATAATAATTTAATGACAGTTTTTTTTATTTGCCATATATCATAATGCTGTGAAACTATGTCATGTAATATTTATAGCATCTTAAGAATGTTCACGAATCAGTTTGCGATGAGAAAATAATTATGTATATACACATGTAATTTTGTATTTTATGAAAAATAATTATATTAGTGCTAATACATAAGTTCTTTTATATAAATTTTTTTTATAACGCGTATTGTATAATTAATACAAATGTGATGTTACCTTTTGGATCTCCTGTACTTCCGGAAGTATAAAGAACGATAGCAAGTTGGTTTGAGTATTTTTTGGTTTTTAATGTATCTTCTTGTTCTTCCCCAGCTTCTTTCAGAAGCTGTTCATATGTCACAATTGAAGCTTTCTCGTAAATTGATAAATTCGCTAAAAACGAAATATTTTTATCTAATTGTATGAGGAAAACCAAATTAATCTTACGCAGAAAATATTAATTCTTTGAAATTTATTATTTCGAATTATATCAAATTGGAATTACACATACACACACACACACACACACACACACACACACACACACACACACACACACACACACAATAAAAAAACAAAAACTCGAAGGCTTTTCGCGTGCAGTTTATGTCAACTAAATAATAAAATATATATGTTCTTTTACAAATTACGTATACTTTGAAATGGTCTATATAATTTCCAAATAATGTCACGTGAATATATGATTTTGCGCGAAAGGTATATATATATATATATGAACTATATATATATATACATATCATTTAAGATTAATCAAATATTTTCTTTGTCTTTCTCTTATTAGAATGTGGTCTTACAAATTAATTAATGAGTTCGTTTAATTATTTTATTTGTGCTTTTAAAAAAAATTAGAATTAAAACTCCATAGAAAGGAATCGAATTTGAATTAAGAATAAAGCAAAAGATGGATAATTAAGAAAAATAGAATTAAAAGTTTATTACTGTTAATAAAATCAAGTTTAAAAAAATCGAATAATAATTCTTTAATAATATTTATTTAGGACTTTTATGGAATCTAAAGAAAGTAACGTAAAAAAGTAAAATAATTTACCTCCTTCTTCGATCAACACTATCAACGGTTGTGCTTCTTCGAGAATGTATTTTGTTCTGGAAATCGGAAATTCTGCATCCAAAGGTAGGTAGGCCATTCCTGCCTTAAGTATACCAAGTAATACAGTTGGAAGGCGATGTGACATTTTCATGCAGACAGCCACCAATGATTGAGAAGTTGTTTCAAATTTTTCGTATTTTTGCAAGGCTCGTGCTAATCTATTGGTAATGTTATCTAATTCTTTGAAAGATAGCACATGTTCTTGATTGGTCTCATCTGTATAGGATTTTCAATTTCACGTTTATATTAAATCTTTTGATACAATATTTGCATTATGTGTTATTTAATAATTATTATTATTTAACATAGACAATTAAATTAATTTTGCATATATGTATTATTATTATTGTTACAATTTATGTTCAGATAGTCGATGAAGCAATTGTATTAGATAATTCTCATTTGGAATTATTCACACCACATTCTTTCTTATTGAATTACATGACATTATTTCAATCTAAATTGCGTATATAAATTGCGTGATGAATGAATGTCAAATTGGTTTTGTAATAAGAGATTCTCTTTTCTATAAATCCTATCGATATCCTATCCTATCGATTATCAATTATCTCAATTCACTCTCTCTCTTCTTGCAACATAACGAATACATAATACAAAATTATTTCTTTCTTTTATCATACAAAAGTTTTATCTTTTGCAAAAATATCATTAGGCACATTAATATTATCATTGATTTCCATATATACAAAATTCCATATATATACAAAATTTATAAATAAGTAGTATTAAATTTCATTGCTAACGCATTAATTTCATTATTAGACATTTCATTATTAAAACAGTTAATGTTAATTAGAATACACGTTTTTATATAACTTTTTATAGAAATTTTTATAGAACTTATAGCAATCATACTTTAGAATAACTTTTTAACAATTTCTGTTTTTTTGTGAAACAATATTGAGAAACAAAAGATCTTACCTTCGTAATATGTTGCAATTTGATCTTACCTTCGTAATATGTTGCAATTTGATTTTTATAAGTCATTGCTGTATAACTAAACAACTCGTGAACTAAATCTTCTTCCTTATTCTTTCCTAACTGGAAAGAATGACCTTTTAAAATGGATTGCTGCTGCAAAGTACCCATTTTCAAATATTCGAAGTAGCTCAGGTTTGCAACGAACTAAAATTTAATTTCAAATAAAAATTAAACACACATTTACAAATACGTATAATCATACATATCGTTTTTTGAGAAAAAGAGAAAAAGAAAGTAAAGCTTATTTGAAATATCTTTCTATAAGTCAATTTCTTTTATCGTACATTAAATTCTTTGTTCTATACATAGAAAATTCACACTTATTATTTACAAAAATTTTTAATGAGAAATTTCTCATGTATATAAAGATAAAAAATTGCAAATTTTATTGTAAAAAAAGATTTTGATTATAATATTAAATGTTAGTTGTGCGAAATAATTTTGTGTTCAAATATAATATACATCATGTATTGCAAATTTGCTAGTAAGACTGCAATTTTATCATGTATTGCAAATTTGCTAGTAAGACTACAATTTTAATTTGTATTGCAAATTTGCTAGTAAGATTGCAATTTTAATTTCAAAATTGGAGAATGGGTTATATATAATTTTTGTTTCCATATGATATTTATATTATTTTTTAATGTAAAATGTATAACACAATTGCGATAATATAAAGTATTATCTCTTCAGGGGGGTAAAGAGGGTGTTATAGAAGTCTCAAACCAAGAGAATCTATATCTTGGCATATACACCAAGTAAAATATATGTATAAATATGTCTTGTGCACGTCTTAAAAAAAAAAAAAAAAAAAAAAATTTTTTTCGCGAACAATTAATGTTTGAAAAAAAAAAAAAAAAAAAAAAAATACGCAATACCATCCGCGTTTTTAGGCTCTTATCGCTCGTTTCATAATTATCATGTTGTGAAATACAGAGCCGTATTCTTTATCAATTTATTTAGAACTATACGCCGAGCTAAAAAGATCGTGTTCTCATTATTTCCATAGATTAATAAAAACGGACAGGAGAAGTGTCGGTGTGGGGCTGAATAGTTCAGTGGTAAGAGCAGTCGCGCGACAAGCGAAAGACTCGGGTTCGATTCCTGATTCAGCGACTTCACCCCGATATTTTTCCTGTCCACATCTCTTCAGGGGGGTAAAGAGGGTGTTATAGAAGTCTCAAACCAAGAGAATCTATATCTTGGCATATACACCAAGTAAAATATATGTATAAATATGTCTTGTGCACGCCTTAAAAAAAAAAAAAAAAAAAAATTTTTTTCGCGAACAATTAATGTTTGAAAAAAAAAAAAAAAAAAAAGAATACGCAATACCATCCGCGTTTTTAGGCTCTTATCGCTCGTTTCATAATTATCATGTTGTTAAATACATAGAGCCGTATTCTTTATCAATTTATTTATAAAGTATTATATTTCGAAAAATTACTAATAATTAATAAGTATTAATGATTGAACAAAAAGCAATAATAATTTCAAATTGATAAATATAACTCTGTTTTAAGATTATATCGCGCAATAATTCTCAGAATGATGTGCAAGAATAGTAATAATGATTTTACTATTCTGAAATATGTTAATGTTTATTACTCAATCTATTTATATAAGATTTGCGTTATACGCCTAATCAATTAGCGATTCCTCACACACATACACACATAAAATTATTCAAACAGTTCTCACAAAAATATATGATTACAATTTATATTGCAAGATAAACATTAATCTGGCTACTACAAGAACAGCTTATTTGCATTCTTGGAATATAAACATCAATATTAGTCAATATTATATTAAAGTATATATTGGAGAACTTCATATGAAATGCTGTTTCCATGAAAGTATATCGTAACCATGTTATTGACGAAAAATTTAAAAAATACCAGAATTCTTGTCTTGAATCTATGGAGACAAAGAAAAAAATTTCAGAGATAGATTGTTCACGATTGCACACGTCAAAATTATGCGTACGGTACTAATATCGCTCTTTGCATATATTTAACGCTAAGTGATATATATTAGATTAGATTAGATTTTACATGAAAGCGTTTTTATATTATTCATATATCATTTATATAGCGTTAAATATGCAATTGATGTGGAAGATGCAATATTAATATTGTATACGCGAATCGTTTAATTATATGTTCAATAATAATATGTTCAATAATACAAGATATCCTTTAAATATTTCAAAATTTAACAAGAAGCAAAACAATCTTGATGAATTATTCATGTAATTCATCACATCCTGTTAATAATAATATTAATGATAATTATATTATAATTAATAATAATATTATTGAATTCAGAAAATTTGTTTTTTTTCTCAAGTATCCTGCATGATTCGGGAAAGTAATAATTTTTTTTTATTAAAATTAAGTTTTTTTTTGTTAAAAAAATATTTGAAGTAACATATACTAATTTAAAGTGTGTGTGTGTGTGTGTGTGTGTGTGTGTGTGTGTGTGTGTGTGTGTGTGTGTGTGTGTGTGTGTGTGTGTGTGTGTGTGTGTGTGTGTGTGTGTGTGTGTGTGTGTGTGTGGTGTGTGTGTGTGTGTGTGTGTGTGTGTGTGTGTGTGTGTGTGTGTGGTGTGTGTGTGTGTGTGTGTGTGTGTGTGTGTGTGTGTGTGTGTGTGTGTGGTGTGTGTGTGTGTGTGTGTGTGTGTGTGTGTGTGGTGTGTGTGTGTGTGTGTGTGTGTGTGTGTGTGTGTGTGTGTGTGTGTGTGTGTGTGTGTGTGTGTGTGTGTGTAACATATATACAGGGTATCCCCAATTTAAATGTCAAAACTTCGAGAGTGTGTAGAGGACCGATAAATTAAGAAAAAAAATTCTTTCGAGTTTTGTTCGTTTTTGATCCATTTTGAAGAAACTTGCAAAAGAAGAAAGGTTTGTGTTTATTTATTTTAAATATTATATTATTTTATTTTTTTGTAAAATTATATTTGAATATGGTTTTATTAAACGTTTTAACTATATAAAAATAAATTTGCACAAATTATATATTTTTATAATATCTAATTTAGAAAAATATCTGAAACACAAATTATAATATATAGTTTTCATGTGAAAAATATAATTATTCCGAATATCTTCTTCTCTTTTTTCTATTTTTGAAAAATATTTTTGTATAAATACTTATATACTTGATATTATTTCTATAATATTACACTACAGCTAAACAGCTATTTTTAAGTTCATACATTATTAGTACATCGCAACAAATAGCCTTCAATACCGTATTATGCCGGCACTCACTTACCTTGTCACTCCCTTCTGTTTTCCTGTTTAATTCCTAGCTCAATGAAAGAACAGCTTTACGTCGTCACACTGCCGAACAAAATATGATATTATAGTTATGCTTTTACTTATATATGTTTATATTCTTTTTTTTCTTTTGTCAACCAAACACTGATACTCCACTTAGATATTTTCACGTAGGCGTATGTCTCTCACATTAATTCTTCTTATATTCTTTCTTTACTTTTGTGGCTCTTTTCTTCCCCACTCGGTTCCTTCTTTTCCAGTTATTCCGGTTATTATTATTAAGTATTCCGGTTTTCGCTATTTTTATTTCGTTATTTTCTGATTATTTTGTAAAACAACTCGAATAATTTTGTGCGATGCCAGGCAAGTTGTTCGCTAAGTCGTATTCAGCGCGACCATAGTATTTGACTTGTGACCAAGAGAGAATGCCTCCTTCGGTTAATACGTGTACTTTTATATAGAACCGGCCAGGAGGAACTAAATTGTTGGTTATCCCCCTTACTGCCGCTACTATGACCTCCATGTTTCTTTGCATTTATCATTTTGCCCACCGTCTTCTGGGATCACCGATACGTCAACATGAACATGAGCTAAATTTTTTTCTCAAGTATTCTGCATAATTTGACATCATAGACGTTAAATTATGCAGAATACTTGAGAAAAAAATTATTTATTATTCAATCTATACACGTCTTAAAGACCTTTAAGACGTCTTTAAGATGTCTTTAGATCAATCTTGCTACCTGGGTATATTTCCCAAGTATGTCAGTTTCCAGATTAATTATTTTGAAATATGATTATACGTTCTCTTAATGTGTTTTATTATATAATATTATTATTATTATATAATATGTAATAATTTAATAACAGGTTATAATAATAATAATATATTGATAATTATTAAATTATAATAGAAGTTTATTACTTTATGTTTTATACATATATATGCAGAAAATTAATTTTGCATTATGATAATTTTTGATGTCACTCGCGATTGGCTTTATAATTATGAGTTATATATATATTACGTAAAGCGATAGGTTTTAAGGTTTTAAAAATTACTTGGACAGTCACATGGACCAATCATCAAGATTAAACTCAACCGAGCATATGCATTTTAAATTGAACACTAAGTTAATTATATGCAGAAGAGCAATAAAACGATATGATTGCGTCATGTAAAATTATAAGTTAGTTTTTAGTATTCTCAAAACTATTAAAATAATATAATGATATAATCAAAGATAATATAAAGGATCTTGCTTACATAAAAATCTGAGACCAGCAGATATAATTTTTTTTAAATATGTAATTTGAATCTAAAGAAAAGTCAATCTTTCTTATATAATAAGAATACGTATATGTAGTAACACAATAATACGTAATTAATACATTGTACTTTAGACGATATCAATTCATTGAACAGTTATGTATAACATTTACTTATATTTTGCATATATAACTTTAATATTATGCAACATTATATATGTATACTTTGCATATAGAATATGTTTAACGTATGATTCAATACGAAACTAGTCGATAAATATTAGATCTATAAATACTAGATAATACGTCTATAAATACTAGATAATAAATTACGATCAAAAAATATAATATATAATAATAGAAATAATAGTAAATAAGATATCCAATATAGGTTTCAGAATAAAACAAATAACAGTTTTTTTGTCGAAAATATATTAACTCAGAAAGAACATCATCTTTCGCATGTATCTGACATTATCTGTCTGGGATTTCCAGGTTGAAAGTTTCAATGAAAGATATCTTTTTAGATGTTTTGAATTTCCTACAGAAATATATATATATATATTTTATTCTTTAAGATCATAATCATAATAGAATCATATGATGATTAATACATGACATCATAAAAATAACGACGAATTATTAATTAATATTAATAATTAATAATTTAATATAGTTTATTAATAATAATATAATAATAACAGATGTTAAAGCAACGTTTTTTTTTACTGTTTTACGAGATTATAGTAAAAATTGCAGTTATCAGTTATTTACTTATCAGTAAATGAAATTCTTGTATTTTTGTGTAATTATTTTATTTTGTATGACACATACAAAAGTATAAAGAAACATCACAGCACAGATAAATAATTACTTTTCTGAAGTTTTATAGCATTAACTTTTTTTTAAGGAAGGATATTTTCCTTGTTTTTACCACGAATGTAGTCGGACGAGTATTTATTAGAATAATCAATTTTGCATTTTGCTGCAACGTTATTAGTCATCTAGTTCACAAGCTCGTGCCAATGTGATGACAAGGAAGAATCCAAGATAACGAGACGTTCATTTTCCTATTGCATCGCAATCTTTCTATTGCCACAATGAATGCAATCAATAAAAATTTACATAAGTTAATCCTGAAAAAATTAAAATTTTTAATACATCTTTTTATTAATAAAATGTACAATTTTGTACTCGCAATATAGAAATTGGATTCTATTTTAAAATTTAAATAATTTTTTATTTTAAAAATTTTTATCAGAGATATATTTTTTGAATTTACATCAAAAGAATCAATCAAATATCTATTGCAAATAATTTTTTCTAACATTTCTAAATCTTTATAATGTACAATGTTATGATATACAATATTTAAAAATTTTTTGAATATTTTTTTATTTTTGTTCTATCGATTTTAAGAGAAATACACTAATTTAACTAAAAAACGATAGGGACGATAAACAAATAATATAAGTATTTCATTTGTAATGCTATGATATTTTATATAACTATCTACAAAGTTTGTTGAACCCGAGAGAAAAGCAACAGAACTCAAGGTCTACGCTTACTTTCATGTTTCATCAAACATTGTCCTCAATTATTTAATGCGGTAAAAGAGAATTCTTAATCGCAATATAAAATATTTACATATTTGTTGTCTCTCCCTTTTTCTGTCTCTTTCTCTCTTTCTCTCTCTCTCTCTCTCCCCCCCCTCTCTCTCTTTCTCTCTGCAACAGTTAATTAATTAATATAATATTATATTAAAGTAACAATTTAATTATTAATATTTATTAATAAAAACCTTACATTTTTATGATTTTGCAATATATATAAAATACTATTTATACAATAATGGAAATTATATTTAGGATTTAACAATATAGAGAATGTTTCATTTTTTTGTTTTTTTTCGTTTCTCTTTCTCAGATACTTGGTTATTCACTTTTACGTGATATTTGCGAATCGCATTACACCTTCATGGCAAGGGAATTCCAATGCGATGGCTCTTGGCCAGATCAGCCTGAGCATTTTCCCATGACGCATGTCGATTCTCCGAGTATTTATTACGCCCGTTTCAAGTATTTGTTTAGGAATTGCGAATATTTTCAAACGTATTTTCAAAGAAATGCGTAAGTATTGCTTCGTATGATGCACATGCAGTGAAAGGATGAAGAACAGGTTGTATTTTTTTATTACTATACTGGATGCACTTGTATTACCATGATATGATCGTCAGCAGGCCTGATGATCCCGTTAAATCCCGTTAATTCCCGTTAATTGAAGAATTGATCTGTAATAAGGCAAAGTTGCAGCCAGAATATCTAATATCTTATATATAGCAAAATTATATAAAAAAAATAATTATTACATTAAAAAAATATAAAAACATTATACATATAAATAATCATATTATTGTTATTTAAAAAATCTCAATATGTATTACAAAACCAAATATGTATATTCTGTCATATATGCATGTGATTATTATATAAATATTAATAAATGTTAATCCTATAGATTCGGTTTATATCTTATTAATTCAAACAGAAGTCTTTCACAAACTTCTAAGTTTCAAAAGTATTAACAAATAACATCTTAATTTTAATATTTTATATATATATATTTTTTCATAAATATCAAATAATATATAATAATATGTAGTAGAAAGATATGTAGTATAAATATCAAATAATATATAATTTTCTAATTAAAGATTTAAATTATTGTAAAATACATAATATTGAATATTATTAAAAAATGTAAAATAGTCTATCCTTCCAAAAAAAACCTTACAAAGGTAAAAAAAATACGCCAAGTACATAAAAAATATTCCACCTTGTATGCAACAAAACGTTTAATAAAAAAAATAGCCTTATAATAAATAATTTATAAAAATTTTCCCTCAAAAAATATATGTAATTTTCCTAAAAAAATCAAAACTAAATATGAAATCAATGATTAATTAGTCAAGTACATTGAAGCAATTGATAGGGATTTGTAATTTGAAATATTTGTCACAAATTCAATCTTGCATTTATATATTAGATTCTCGACAAAATAAAAATGATTTTCAAAATAAGTTCCAAGTAAATTTGAAACTAAAAAAATTAAGACCAAAACAACTTACAAAATCTCGGGTCGTATTATAATTCACATATTTCTATAATTGAAATTAATTACAGGTATATAATTCGCAAACTTTGTAAAATTATATGTATTATAATGTGACCCGCTTGAGGGGCAAATTCTCTTGGCGTGTGTGCGTGCAAGCATTGTACGTGAGATACTGGAAATGAAGGAAGAAAACGAAAAATGTCACAATTCTGATATTTGATCATCATTTCTCAGGATTGATTGCACCGATTTTGTTCAAACAGGTCGCAATCGAAAGCATATATTCACATTTTATAATAAAAGTGTCGTTAGATTTTTGATTACGGCTTTAGTTTATTAAATATCTTAACCGAAAGTTTACTTGACGCGAAATTCTGGATAAGGTACTTGGATAAGGTAGCACCGTGTCGAGAGCAGTGACTCTCAACTCAATGCTTGGAACTCAATGCTTGGACTTGTTCTTTATGTACTTGGCTATCACGTCACTTGATGAATGTTTGTAGAGTAACTATGTTTCTTATTATGTTCAATTATATTGTCTCATAAATTATCATAATATTTAACATAAACATTGTAATATGCGGCGAGAAAAATTTTCTATTTTTTATTAACAAGATAAAAGTTCTTTCTATTAGAATACATAAGTTAAACACATTCTTATGATCTTATTTTCTTATCCCATAAGTATCTGTTTTATATTTCGTAAAATATTTTTCCAAAATATTTTTAGCTATTTTCTATGTTTACAGTTAATCCATTTTAAATGTAAAAGATTTTTATATGTTATTATAATAGGATTATATCTTGTTATATAAATGTATAAAATATAGAATAGAAAAGAAGATAGTTGAAAAACGAATTAACTAATAGTTTATATATGTTTATATACGTGTATGTCGTATTGTATATACATACATACATATATGATATGCGAATATTCGCAATTTTCTGTCCTTCTTGACTGAGGAAGAGCATTGCTATGCAAATTGCAATGTATTCGCATGACTTTTCGTGGACCGATATTTGATTATTTTGAATGGTTGCTACAATGTGCATTAGATGGATGTTTTACGTGTTACACAACATAGATTGATTGATCATTTTATTGCGTCAAGTGGCGAGAACAATAGCTCGCCTGTTCAGTCAGGCATAACCCCATTTTACCATCTTAATCTATCACATCCGTGGCAATCTTACCCTCTATTATGTGACACGGGCTTTTATGTGCCGGAAGTTTCACTTTATTTTGTTGCGATTATTAATTTTGAAGAAAGACGAAGGCTAATTTTTGCAAACGCATATCGTGAATCGCGCGTTGAATAATTGCATGATAACGGCAATAAAACTTTAGTCCCTAATTTATAACACATAACAATACATGATAGTATGTTATATTTATTTAACATAAAAATGATATATAAGTGAAAATTTTATAAAATACATATAAAAAAAATAATGCGACATGTAATGGAAATTTAGTAATATATTATAATTTCAACAATAATATAGTAAATTAATTGATTGCAAAGCTTATATTAATTATTAATACACAAAGATACTTTAATAATTTAACCTTTTCTTTCTCTCTTTGTCTCTCTTTCTCTCTCTCTCCCTCTCTCTCTCTCTCTCTCTCTCTCTCTCTCTCTCTCTCTCTATCTATCTATCTATCTATCTATCTATCTATCTATCTATCTATCTATCTATTTCTCTCTACAGATTAGTGATTTAGTATTTTATTTCTGCTACTAATTAATAAAAAATTGCATTTTTTAAAGCTTTTTTATCTAAGCGACATAAGTCTTATGGTGCTCATATAATGATAAAAATGCGGTGCTCTTTGTTTGTGTTTTATTCTAAAAATTAATTAATATATTATAAATTAATATATTATTATAATTAATATGTTATTCATTTATATACATAATTATATAAATATAATTAAATTAATACCATACAAATATATATACATGAAAATCATTAAATTTTATTAATTAGATATTAATAAAAAATAAAAGATAAATAACTCTTTCTTAAAGATATATTATATACATAGTTATTATTATAAATAAAGTATGCGTGTGTAACAGAGATTTAATTGCAACTTTTATAAATATTATTTTTTTGTATATTACGAGATAAGGGAATTATATCACTTATATATATATATATATATATATATATATATATATATATATATCGTAATTTTATTTAATTTTATTATTTCAGTAATAATATATTATCTAATTTGTAATTATTAGAATATGAATACGGCAAATAATTACGACAAATAATACTACCAAAATTTTCAATTGTTAAAAAATCTAAATACATTTTAACAAATTACACATATAACTAAGATTTTATGTTATGATACAAATAAAGATTTTGTTATAAATATTTGAATGATTAAATTATCGAGATAAAGCGATACATTATGATACATGTTACAAAGCAACGCATAATAATAAGTCTACATGTTAATAATTATTTTCGCTTCATATTGTTGTTTTAGCTATTTAAAAATCTCTATCTCTTATTCAGAATATTTGCTTAATCTACTGTTTATATGATTCATTAGTTTTGACGCTTTCAAAATTTAAACGCTTTTCTCGGATATGGTACTCCTTTCGCTGTTCGTCCTTTGTGGAGTGCGCAACACTCGCTGGTTGCTGGTAGTTATAGTTGTAGATAGCGTCCTGTCGTTTCCCATTCTCCTCAGGCTAGTATTTCTATCCAAATAATCTTTATCCTTAGGACATCTCGGTCCGTTTATGTTCACGTAGACAACGTAGACCGCAAAGATTCCTACCAGGAACATCGCAACTCCTACGCCGCTTATCGTATATACCTGTGGTCAACGAAAATAATATTGTATATTTGCTTTGGTTTTTCCGTCTAAAGGAACATTTTTGAGAAAGGAGTTTTCAAATAATTTCCTTTTTTTGCTGAAATACTAATTCTTTCCATAGTGCAGAAAAAAATTAACTTTTGCTACACTTGTGAAAGATTGTATATAATTTAAAAAAAATTATAATGTATTAAGAACGCAAGAAAGAAAATTTTTAAAAAATTTTGAAATTTTTTCTACATATGATTTGTTATAAAGAAATAAGATTGATATACAGTTCTTTTTGAGATTGTATGGCGTTTTAAAAAAGCATTAATTTCATCACTTATGTAACTACTCTTGTAGAACGAAACATCACCATTGTCCACCACTCGTTATCATCCATTCCCGAAACAAGGATCGCTTCGCTATCTTCTTCGTGTAGCTTTTTGATTTCCTTGATTACCATGGCACATCCTGTTAACGATTCATTTTCTTGATTCAGAAATCTCCTGAACGTATATGGTATGGCTTCATCGTCATTTTCATGGTTTTCTTCAATTTCTTCTACATTGCTTTTCTCCTTTTCGTCCCATTTGTTCTCACCCCAGTAAACTTTCGCCTTGTTTTGGCGAACGATGACACTATCTAGACGCTCTAGATTACTTGTTCTCGTCTTTACAGATAGATCGAGAAATCTCGATGCTGTTTGCAATTCCGTGTTGTATTTCAATAACGTGTTCGATACTACGTCATTCCAATCCAGAGGCTTTATTTGACTCTTACATTTTTTATTTTTGCTGTAAAATAATTATATTTTGATGGATACTTTGCATTGTAAATCATAATCTAATAAATTACTTTATGTAATAAAGCTCTACTATGTATTTTAAGAAAAATTTTATTTGATTAATCTTATTTCAATATTAAATTACTTTATAATTGTTTTTTTGTTTTTTTTTAAATTTAAAAAAGAAAAAAAGTAAATTATTCTAAAATTAATTAAATAAAATTAATCAATTAAAATGATTGATACACTGATTAATTATATATATAGTCAAAAATATGAAAAAATTATATTAAAACATAATGATTCTTTAATTACATTATTGAATATATGGTTAAATTTTTAATTATAGAAATAAGATGATTGAGATTTGCAATTATTTAGTCATTGACATAAGTTGTTATAAGCTTATTAAATCAGTTTTTAATTTATTATATTTGTCTTGCAAAATTGTTTTTTAGTTTTGTTATGAGATAATCACTATTAGAAATTTCACTCACCATAACTCTTTTAAAGCCTTCACGTAAATTTCTATGGCATTTTGTAACCATCTGACTTGTCTCAGATCCTCGGCATTGTATTTTCTAGAACTGTTTTTAAGCATCCATTCTGAATTTTTGACTCTCCATTCTAGATCGTTAATTAGATTTCTGATGAAAAAGAATTTATGAAATATTTTTATATTATATATAAAAAATATTATTTTTATAAAAAATTGTTCAATGTAATATATTTAACTCTATTAAACATGTACACATGGATATTAACATACAGTCTCTGGTGTCATTTTTTGTGTACAAGTGGAGCGGATTATATGGTTTGTACCAAGTAAGAAAGTCCTCTATCGTTTTGCAATAATTAATAGAAAATTGATTTTTTAAAAATAAACTAATTCGCATGAGCATAAACGGCGAGAAGAGAGTTCACTGTTATACAGGTGCTAGGTGTGTGATGAAGAATTTGAATTAATAATTAAATGTTTAATTAATAATCAAACGTTTTATAGCATAGCAACGACCTAGATAATAGAAATGTTTGTTCTTGCCACGCTCTTATATTTATTTGTGCCGATTTTTTAAAATTAATTTCTCGTTATTGTGATCATATATTATCAATGATTTCATACTCGATCTGCGATTTGATTTCAACTTAAGCATACTACGAATTCATTAAATAATTCATTATAATAATTAGTATTCTATGCTTCCACGGAGTTATTTTATTTTATTTTTTCTGTTGTAATATTCAAATAATTTTTAATAATAATACATGGCTATTGAATATGATAAAGTATATTGCAACTTTGCATATACATATTAATACTGTGTATTAATATGTATATGCAAAGTTGCAATATACTTTATTCAATAGCCAGTTCATTATAAAAATATAGAAGAAAAATATAATTGATATTGCAAACAAGTATTTTAAATAGATTGTATTTTCCAAGTGATGATTTTACACTTCTCTATGTAATGTAGGCATAATAATTAAGTCCATAATTAATTAATTTTATCTTTTTCTAGAAATGAAACAAAGAATGCAGTTAATATTTTTAACCTTTTGTTATAGAATTAGTAATGAAACATTTAATTATGTAATGTGCCTAGCAATTGTGTAACAGTGAACAGTGAATGTGTCTCTTTGGTACGGTTATATTCGTATAGATTAGCCAATTTTTTCGAAATAATTTCTTATTAATTATTTTATAAATCGCGCAAATAGTAGAAGATTTCTATTCGGTTTAATCCAGTCTATTTACGTTTAGATAATATTGTTATTATCGGGTAATATATATATATATATATATATATATATATATATATACATTAATTGGAATACACAATATATATATATATATATATATATATATATATATATATACATATATTGCGTATTCCAATTAAATAATATATTTATTTAATAATGTACCTATATTTTTATTATGTCGAAAATATTTAGTAATATATAGAAAAGAATAGAAAATTAATATCAAATTTTTCTTGATAATTTCTTAAAACTGAAAGTAAAAAAATATTATGAAATTATTGAATCATATTTAAAAGAAGAAACAAATTATTGAATTATATTTAAAAGAAAAAACAATGGTTGCTGTTTCTAGAGTACAAATACCTGGTGAGTTAAAAAAATTAAAATTCCCAATTGTTAATTATTAATTAAGAGTTTTGAAGACAAAAACATTGCTAATATAATTTTATAACTATAGAAGGATTTTATTTTAAAAGAGATGAATATTACAATTTAGAAGGAGAGTTGTGTATATTAAAATTTTTTTTTTACATCTAATCATAAATAAGTGTTAATTGTGTCAGACACATATATATCTTCATGTATATTATCTTCATATATGTTTATCGTATTACTATTTATAAAATGGCGTACTATTCATTTATATATGATAATGAGATTTCTCTGCATTGAGTGACCTCGGCGCGACTATTGTTCCAGAGAATGAAACGTTAAAATGCTGGGAAAAAAGCAACAGTTCCGGTAATTTTATCGCGAATTATCGAGGATTCTTAACCTCAATTGAGTTTCACACTTTCGATGGAAGTAGAAATCGTGTTTCCAGATATATTTATATATGACATCTTTTAGACGCATCGTATCAGCACACGATACGATGTGATACAATTAATATAAAATTACTATGCTACATAAATCTATAATTGAAACATTAAAATACTGGAATGTTAACGGTCATAATAACATTAAGACCACTAATAATGTTGAGAAATAAACGCGTGTTTTTAATGAGAAACTTCCGCAATGCTTTTGCTAGTAATGAATTATTACGCCACACTGGATATGGATAATAACATAAAAATTACATTTGATCAATTATACATAATACGGTCGTTTTAGATTTCAATTACATTGAAATCTACTGTAATTTATGAAGGATAATTTTCTGTACTCAATTATTCGTCTCTACGTAATCGCAATCAATGATTCATGCACATAATACTTCGTTGAGGTGCAGTTTGTGATTAATAATAAAGCGGTATTAGTACAAATAGTAGAACAACACTGCCATTAGATATTTATGCATATTTAAAGCTGTTTAAATTTATTATTTATGTGAAGTTTATTACAAATAATTACAGATATAATTAAGTCCACAATTATATCTGTAATGTAATTATTTATTAATGTAATTCTTTATCATCTGTAATATAATCATTCATTACATCTTTAATGTAATTTTATTGATTTTACACACATGCAATATCCATTTAAACTTAAAAGTAGACCAAGGGGGATATACTCTATTCTATGAAAATTTTTCTATGATAATATATATATATATATATATATATATATATATATATATATAAGAAAATCTATTTCTACACTTACATTAATACTTTTTAAGTATAATAATTGTTTAAATTATTTAACTGAAATATAACATCTCATTTGAAAATATTTTATTTAAAAAAAAATGTGGAGTTTTTATATTAGTACAAATATATTTTTGTTTCAAAATTAATTAGACATATACAAATTAATTTTGTTGTGGAATTTTTTATTAATAATTACCTAGAATCTTCCAAGAATAGTACAGTGTTAGTTGATTTTATGCGATTTAAGTAATCTTTTAAATTTTCCTCGCTGATAATTAGTATAGTTGCGTTGATAGACTCGTTGAAAAATTTCTCTTTCGGTTTTCCAATGTGTACAATATGGGATGTATAATCTATGTATATCGAAATTACGATAAATTTACGATAAATTACAATATATATCACAAGTTTAATAAAATCTTATGATTTTTATATGAATGTAATACTTCTGAATATATCTTTGTTGTTTTATTAACAATTAGTATATACAAAAGATGTCACGAATAGAATCTATTAATTATGCTATTATATCTACGTTATGCAATATTTTGGTGGACAAATCTTCAAAATTATGATTTGAATCTTAATTGTTTTAAAATATAATATGACCATTGAATAATTTATTATAATTTTGACATTTTAGTATTTTAGAATTATTTTCTAATTTATATTACATATATGTTGTTAAAGCATATCGCAGAATTTTTTGCAATTAAAATATAATTTCATATCTTCCTCATCATTATCGTGAACCATGACGCATAAATTCTTAGCAATGGCATTTATTGTTAATGTTTTTGCGATATTTTGTATGTCATCATCGTTTTCATTATTAATGTTAGCTACTAACGTGAAGGACTTCCACTTTAAGATTTCTATCATTCTCAAGATTCCCTACAAAAAAATAAGTTTCAATTTTTTAAATATTTATTAATATAAAATTGTTCAATAAGATTTAAATAATTTTTTAATTTTATTTATTTATGTTCTATTTGTATAATAAATAATAATTTAAGTAAATGAATGAATTTAAATAAATGAAATAGAATTTTTGACACATTTAGTAATTTTCAATAAATAATAGTAAAAAGTTTTAATAAATAATAGTATTTTTTCAACTATAATTATTATACCGATTAATATTAACAAGTATTAAATATTTAGTTTTGAATATATTATTTATATTTGCTAAAAGATATTATCAATAGACGTAATATTTAAATAAAATTATGTTTATAACAAAAAAAGTGAATATGTGCAAGTATTATAATATTAAAATAAATTTATGATAAGTGATTTATACTTGAGTAAGAATTGTAAAAAATATGTATATTTTTATACTCTTTGTACGTATATTAAGTACACTTTATTATGCCAATAAAAGACTTAATAGTTATTTGCTATTAAATTAATGCCGGCATTTTTTGCGATTAACTTGTCTGACTTATGTTCACTCGACATAACGATTGTGAGATTTTATATATAATATTTTATATATATTTAGCAACTCATAATTTACAACTCATGACATAAAAAGAGTTCTATAAAACTCTATTAAAAATAGACAGAAAGAGAGAGAGAGAGAGAGAGAGAGAGAGAGAGAGAAAGAGAGAGAGAAAGAGAGAGAGAGAGAGAGAGATAATATTATTTATTTTATTCATTATTTATCGATTTTAATGCAAATATATTTAAATAAATATAAAGATATCTCTATGTGTATATATATTAATATATAAAAAATTGTATTATGAGCATATTAGTTTAAATATATTAGAAATAAAACTAATTGTGACAAAATAATAATTAGATGCAGTATTACAAATAATCTTATTATAAATAATCTTAATACTGATGTAAGTGATTAAAAGCATATTTCGATATTATTCTGACATTTTTATATGCTTGCGTAACGATTCATGTTATTATCGCATTATGTAAAAATTATAATAAGTTTAACATCACAAGTTAGCTACTTCAATCATAGATATCATAGATTGATGATAGATTTCCATCTTCGATTTACAGAATGAAGTTTTGAGACTTTTAATAACCAACAACATTAAGAATATCATTTTTAATTAATGATAAATACCTGTACTAGATAAGAATTTGTTTCTTCCGTCAAAGAATGCAAAAATGGAGAAATCGATGGTTTCTTGACGATATGTGGCACTTTCAATATCGAAGTCACTTTATGTACTGCTTCAGTATTAATCATAGTATTCGGTCCAATAATACCTGAATAATTACCAGACATATGTAATCAGACATATGTATAAATCGACTGATACAAGTATTTTTCTAAGAAATACAAGCTTTATGCATATAGTATATTATTATATTTCGTTTATTATTATATATATTTTATAAGAATATTTTATTTTATATAAATAATTAAAAATAATTATACTGTATAAACTAACAAAATCAATAAAGTCCTGAATATTATTATATATAACAATAAAACTAAGAGATAATAAAATTTTTATATGTTTTATTTCCGCTCTATTTATCTCGCGTTCAGCTCTGATTAGCTCAGTTTTTTATTATCTTATATCTTATAGAAATTAATTTATAAATTTAAGTTAAAAACATGTTGATAAATTGGTTATTTATTACTAGCTTTAGATGAAGAAATTAATGTCGCGAAGACTATACTGTCGAAGAGATCCTTACCCAAGTAATAAGGTGGATGCAAACAGTTGATATTTGCCCATACGAGGGCCTTCATCATCGCTTTCAAAACGCCCGTTATACTTCCGCAAGTATCAAAAACACTAATTCCTATAAATAGTTTGTTTTATTTTTAATTTTTTTAAACAGTATTCTATTTTGCTTTGTATTATTATCCAATGCCTAATTAATCAAATGTTTGTTTCTAATTAATTAATATTAGCGAGGAAAGGTATTCGATCATGGAATCATTCATATAGAGTCATATATACAGAATCATTCATTACTTCGTATTATTTCAATTTTTACCGATTTTAAATCCGTCAGTTTTGTTATTGTGAATCTCGGCGAGAAGTTTGGCAGCCTCATAAAGTGTAACGCCTTTCATCGACAGTTTTGTGCACGATGTATCGTCATGCACACTCGTCAAAAGTGAAATTTGCGCGGATTCGCTACATTCTGTGCGTGTACCGCAAGTACACGCAGCGGCTATCACAAGGATTACGCACCAGATTCGTGAGAAGTTCATGTTTTGATTAAATGAATCGATATTTGATAAATTTTTCCGAATTTTTAAAATTAAAAATAATTGTAAATGCTTTCTTTCTCTTTTTTATAATTTCTTATTACAAAGAGAGTTTAATACGAATATTTTAATATTGATAGTGAATGATCAAAATGTTACCGCGCACAGTATGATTTATTTTTTATGAAATAATTATAAAATTTTTTCTTTGATTAATCATAGTTAGTATAATTAAATTCAAAAATTATAAATTCACCAGTTTTACATAAACGATTCTATCTCTGTTTTTAATTATTCATTCAGGTCAGTCTTATAATCATGTGTTTACAGTTTTATTTGTTAATCATATCTGAAAGGTTATATAATGCCATTATTAATTGTGTAATAAAAATGTAAGGCATTGAAAATTATTCTATCATATAAACACAATTACAAACAAAGTTTTATGTATGCAAAGTATATTATTGTAATATACAATAATATTCTTTTTAAAACGTATAAACAGTTTAGTATCAAAGTGTCACGTTTCTTACTACAAAAATTTCACTAAACTATCTGTCTCAAGTGCAAACCCTGATATTAAATTCTAGAAGCTCTATAAGCTCATCGCATATATTTTGCGAATTTGTAAGGTTTTAAACATGACATGACTCGAATGACAGAAGTTCTCAGCATTTATCCTTTAAAAAAAACCACAAAATAATGTTATAAATAAAAATTGTTTAGGAGGGGAAAAATTTTACATAGGAAAAACTTTATACATATAATAAAAAATCATTTAGTTGATAGAATATTTATTAAATTGGCGTGTGTGTGTGTGTGTGTGTGTGTGTGTGTGTGTGTGTGTATAAAGAGAGAGAGAAGAGAAAGAAAGAAAGAGAGAAAGAGACGCACATTACGAAATACATAATTGATTACTTTTATTTTTAATAATAATTAATTTTATACTTAATAAGTGTTACACTGACAATGTTTTTTAAGAATCAATTCATTTATTTCAATCATCACTTATTAGTTTTCTTTCTTAGAACTTCAAAAAAAATATGCTGAAATCTTCCACTTACATTATTGCAGCTTTATAATTTGATTTCTTATATAATGCAATATGAAGATACATAAAATTTCGAATGTTAATAAAAATGTTAATAAAAAAGGAACGAGGAAACGAAAGAAAAAGAAATGTAATTTGTTGTTGGAATAATAGACATTGTTGATAAATATAGAGCATTTAGTAAACTATAATACATTTGAAAAAATGCTTCTTGTATTATAGAAAGAGATAAGTATACAAAAATTTTTTAAATTAATAAAAAATTATTTCATATCATGATTTATTAAATTATATAATAGCAATTCTTTCTTTTTCAACTAATTCAATATGAGAACCTCTTTTAATTTACATATAAGCCAGTTAACATAGTTGCTAAGAGGAATCCTTTATTTAATCTTTCTTACATGATTTGCTCTTACGTAACTGTATTAGATGGTTAAAATATATGAAAGATATAACACTTTACATTAATATTTATTACATTTTTTTAAATAAAACTCGTTTCTTTACAAAAGTAATAGAAACGTTTACTTTTGACAGAAAGTTATTCTCGTACAGCGTGAAATATCATGTTGATAAAAAGAGAAATATACACATATATATGGGTGATAGAAGAAAACCAACACATGATATTGATGAATAAGTATTAAGGTAATTTGTCAATATATTAATCTCTTAGCAGTGAAGAAAATTTTCTTTTAATCTTTAAGAATATAAAAAATATATCTCTCTCTCTCACTCACTCATTCAGTCTTTATCTATCTATCTATATATATATATATATATATATATATATATATATATATATATATATATATAGAGAGAGAGAGAGAGAGAGAGAGAGAGAGAGAGAGAGAATATATTTATCTTTTAGGATTAATATTTTCACTTTGATAAAGATTTTATTATAGAAATGTTTTATTATAGAAATGTACATAATAATATTGATAATATTAATAACATAGATGGCAGTACAAATCAATAAGATAACAATGATGGGAATGAGAATTCTATTAATCCTAACGAATAATGCGAGGTGGCACCACTGATCACAACACACACAATCGATACAACAATTATTTGATATAAATTATGAGAGTATATCGATGAATATATGAATAATTAATAAATGTATGTAAGAGTAATTTATAGCAGAATAATTATTAGCATTTAAATAATTTTGATTGCTTGTGAAAGTAGTGTGTGTTATAAAAATTAAAAGATTTTGTACGTATAATTTCTCTTTCAAAATTATTATAATTTTTATAAATTATAATAAGATAATTATTTTTATATTTTTTATATTCTTTAAATTTTACAAGTTTCTCAAAACAAGCAGCGTATTAGATATTAAAGCATACAATATGAGATCTCTTCCATATGATATTCTTATAAAATATTTACCAAAATTTATTGTCAAATCGATAAATCGACATCGGTTTAATAAAGTGACATGTAAAAGGAATGTTTATTTTGCATATGAGGAAATAATTCAAACATAATAATGTTTTGACCATAAACGGTCACGTAGATAAACATATCTACGCAAGAGATCCATAACATTAATAAAATAGACATGCACTGTAAATTCTCTCACCGTAATTCTCTCAACAGGACATACGCAAACGGTTCACGAATCAATCTCTACATTTCAAAAAGACAAATAAGAAAAAGCGCGGAAAGATATATTTGCACCATGTCGGCCATTACTTACGTTGGCGCAAGACCAACAATAACACTGATGGACTTTTAAAAGGTAGAGACGTCCGCGAGATTTTTCGTATCTCAAACATCTTCACATTTTTCAGTCGTTGTTAGGTAATACAGATGCAACCTGCCATTTTCATCCATCTTTAGTTGTTGGGCGTTCGATAAATTCTTGGATAGGTTTTGGATAGATCCTTGTCAAGTAGCTTCATGTTGGATTTCGTAAAATATATGCGAGTACGTAGGAGAGAAAAAGGCACGACAGAAAACACGATGGAAAATTTACTCATTTTGCTTGTGTTTTCCAGCAAACTCCATTTTACTCTCATGTTACGTTTGGGTTTAAAAGGGTTTATTTTAGTAGCATATCCCAATATTATTATGTCAAAATCATTGTCGGCTCAAGTGGCGTAACTGAGATTCTTGAATAACACAAATTGAGACAAAGCGATGATTTTAGTGATAACATTAATAATTCTTATAGTTTTTATAAATTCTGTTTTTTTAATGACTTTCTCGACTATTGAATAAATATTTATTGTTCTTATAATTTTGCAGGCATTAATAATCTCTTGTCGAAAAATCAATCTTATTTATTTTATTACTCCAATTGTTTTATTTTGTCTTATGTACATTTCAAACTCGAATTGAGTACTAAATTTATAATATAATTTATAATTTGATATTGGAAATATAGTTAGATACGTTTTCTAAATTTATTTATTCTGATATTTGAAATGTAGCTGTTTTAACGAAGATACCTGCAAGTACATGAAATTTCACATACAGAATGCATTACGTATTAAATTGATATAGTTATTTTCATAATTAATCACATATAGACAGAGAGAGATATGTATATAACATATTTTTGTAATTAAATTAAATTTTTTTTCGATCAGACTTTTTTGATAATTTTGTTTTGTTTTGCAACAAATACGAACATAAATATGTACATAACATAAAAGAAATAATTTATCAATTTTGGGCAAATGTTATCTTAAGAATTTTTAATTTAAAAAGTAACAAACTTTCATTTTTCTCCTCAAGGATATAAATCATTTTGTCGTGATCATTATTTCGTAAACATTTTCTTGCATAAACATCTTTTGTCAAGTTATCGTCAAGTTATTGCTATCTTTCTTTTTAGTCATCATTACGAATAATTTTCCTTGATTGAGATATCGCCAACGTTGGTAAGTTATAGTCACTGTTTTTAGCTTTGATGTTTCGTTCAATGTTTATCTATCCTATGCCATATGTTTCAAGACATGTTAGAAATACCATATCGGCAGGACAGATTCGGGACACATACATAAATTATTACAAAATTAATAGAAAATAATATTACAGAAAATTGGTTTTTTCTAAATAATTATTATATATTTATATTAAATAAATATTTAAAAAATTGAAATAAATGATAATTTTCTTGAGAACATAAAAATTTTCGTTAGAAAGAATTTCATAAAGAAAAATTTTCTTCAAATTTTATAAAGAATAATATAATCTCTTAATTAATTTTATTAATTAGTTAAAAGACTATATTAAAAAAGATACTTATATACATATACAGTCTCCTTTTATTGTTAGATATAACAATAAAATATTCTAGGATGATTCTAGGATGAGATTACGACGAGACAGATAGATGCGGAATCATCTATCGCGATTTTGTAAATTTCCGTTTTCACACACATGTAAAGATCAATGTGAGTAACGCTTCTGCGACATTTCTGGTTTCACCCGTGACGTTAACACTGACGAATGCCCGTGAGAGTTTATCCGTAATCGACTGGAAACGCGAGAACTGGCCTAGATTTTGCAATACAAACTTTCGAGGAAAAAGTAGCAAGTGCTTTGGCTATCAGTAGCTTCACTATGAATCTATTTAAAGCTCTAGATGTTTAATAAAATATTTAGACTTTAGATTAAATGAATGAATAAATTAAATAGATCTTTTACAATAGAAGGTTCATATTTGCATATTCATTATGGAATAATGTGATGTTAGTTTAGAATTTATATGTTAACTTTAGATATTATATTCAAGAGATTTCAAATTTAAATAAAGTGAATTATTATCACAAAGTAGTAAATCTTGTAAGAATATATTTTATTTCTTTTTGCTCTGAACTATCTTTGTTCTAATGATGGAATATGCTTTATCATTAAACGTTACATCAAACGAGATTAATGAATAAATCGTTGAATTACATTCGCCGTCATTCATTATAACTATTGCATTGACACTTTCTTATGCTCGGCATAATCAGGTCGCATCGCGAGCTTTGTAGT